AGCAACAGTTTGCGGTAATCAGTTGTATCCATAGAGAATTCCTAATATTTAGCTTATGAAACAATCAACTTTTGGTTTCTAACCACAATTTCTCTTGACGGATGATAATCAAAGACCAAAATCGCCAAAATGACATTAAGCTTCATTCACAACCTCAAAAGCAGTGGAATAAATTAGTGGTTTCCATTAGCGCAGATGTGTGTGCCTCCACTATCAATGTAAACATTTACAACGTCAGAATTACTGGTAGTAATCTTCAGTTAGTGGAAAAAGTTAACAATCTTTTAACTTTTCCACTAAGTACACTTAAAAATTGGCGAGGAATGTCATTTTGGCTTTTGATTATTATCATTCGTCAAGAGAAATTGTGGTTACAAAACAAAAATTTATTGTTTTATAAGCTAAATATTAGGCTTTCTCTATGGATACAACCAGGGTACAACTGACTACCGCAAGCTGTTGCTAGGATATTCTATTAATTTTAATTTTGTTTTTTAAGACATTGTGAATGATCGTAAACTAAAGCTTCATTCAGAACCTAGAAATCAGTAGAATAAATTAGTAGTTTCAATTAGCCGTAGAAGTTTGTTCACCTAATTTAGGCATTCAGTTAATAATGCATTCAGGTAATTTTTGCATTCAACGTAAGTATTCAGAACGTTATAATTAGTGGTAGTAATTTTCACTTACTGGAAAAAGTTAACAAACTTTTGACTTTTCCACTAATTCTACTTCAAAATTTGCGAGGAATGTCATTTTGGCCTATGATTATCACCCGTCAAGAAAAATTTTGGTTAGAAATCAAAAGTTTATTGTTTAATAAGCTAAATATTATGCGTTCTCTATGGATACAACAGACTACCGCAAGCTGTTGCTAAGATATTTTATTAATTTTAATTGTGTTTTTAGACATTGTGAATGATCGTAAACTAAAAAGTATAAAGTGTAATTGAAACCACTAATTTATTCTACTAATTGGGAGATTCTAAATGAAGCTTTATTCTGCTTATTATCTCTACTGTTTATATTTATCTTTTAACTAAGAGTAGACCTCACATTGAACTCTCCTTAATGGTTGGTTTTTCACTCAACTTTTATACCACACACTAACCTATACTTTTACCACGGAATCACCTTTTAAAAAATTTTAATTTTTTTTGAAACGCTCTGTATATTATGACATACAGCAGAGTTAACATACATGCGTCATACTATTCTGTAGTAGCAGAGTAATAAAGAGCTTATAATAAAAAAATTGTCCTTAAAAGAATAAAATGAAGAAAAATTTTTTGAAGGGTTTGCGACCAGCTAACATAATATTATGGAAACTCTGATGTTTGTCTACGTCAACTCTTTATTTTTAATAGAACAGGCCCTAAGATTTTTACATGACAATTTTATTTCTATGTGTAAAACTACATACTAATTTTTCAAGAGGTACATAATGAATTTTATTTTGTTAATCATTACGGTGTCTAATTTGAAGTATTTTAATTATTAGACTCATGATTTATATTTTTCTAGTTTGTACAAATTACAAACATATATATGTTGACGTTTTGTTGTTGTACACTGTTCACTCTTGTCTTAGTACACGAGTTGCTTTCCATTCAGGTACAAAATTTTGACAGGTCACTTACAAATATCGATTAAAATCTGACATAAAAGAAATAACTGAGTATTATTTTAGTTGTCAGTTTATCGGTTATTGTATAAAATCTATTTATTTTGTATCAAAAGACAATTTTTGTCATTGGATAAAAAGACATACTTGCAAAATTGTGAGAATTATTTTTTATTTAAAAAAAGTTGTTTTCAAGATTTCAATTAAATTTCAGTTTTAAAGCAAGTTTCGAGTAATAGTCTAGCAAGATAGAATACCGGGAGCGTCTCAAAAGTGGCCCACCCCTATAACTTTTTTAATTTCTTCATATAAAAAAACTGAAATGTTAGTATATGACATAAATTAGGATTGAATGGCATATTTATTCAATTGTTTTTGATCACTTCCTGTTTCACCGAGAATGACTACAACTATTGATTTTTAAATGACGCCCTCTATATTTTTTTTACTTTATTTGATATAAAATGACACTCTGAATTAAATGACATATCATATTATGTCAACTTTTGACATTTTTGCATATGGTTTATTTGAAATTGTAACATACGGTTCATAATGACAATTTGACTCGACATACCAAGTGTGTGTGGTACTAAATTATTTGTAAAAAATGCGTTTTTCAAATATGCTAATGAGCCACCCTTGTTCCATTTCAAAAAATTGAAATTTCAAATACAATTTTTTTGCAAAAATGTCAAAATTTGGACATTCTTTCAAAAAGCACGACATTTTTTTAAGCAAAAATGTCAAAATTTGGACATTCATTCTATTCAGAGTGTCATTTTCTATCAAATAAAGTAAAAATATAAAAATCAAAAGTTGTAGTCATTTCCGGTGAAACAGGAAGTGACAAAAAACAATTGAATATGTCAATCAATCTTAATTTATGTCATATACCAAATCCATATGTCATATACCAAATCTGTTTTTTTTTATCTTAAAAAATAACAAAGTTACAAGGGTGAGCCACTTTTGAGACGCACCCGGTGTAGATAATAGCATTAAAAATGGGAATCCGATTATGTTCATATTTCATTATGAAACAGTGAAGCTATAGTAGTAAACTTATAGAAACAATATAACTACTAAAAAATACATCTAATTTTTTAAACCTGTTACATGTAAAAATAAATTTCATACGTAAAGTTTCCATCAAAACTTCTTTTGAATTAATAAGTAGTTAGTTAAACAAGCAACAAGGATTAAATCATGTATCTTGTACATTTTAGCAAGGCTCACATTGGGACACATGCGACGTAAACCACGCAGTGCAGTACGAGCAACATGCACAAAATTTGTAACCTGGGTTGGCTAAGCGCATATTGTCAAGCACACTTGTATTGCTTCCTACGAAGGAAATTTGAGTAATTTAATTATAACGGAAAATGTATTACAAGGTTTAAGTTCTGAGGCAGATTGGGAAACAGAAGTTTTGCTCTACCTGTATATACGAATAAATTGTTTTGTAAAAGAAATTAGATGAAATGAAATGTGCAACCAAAACATGACAAAAATAACTTCTGATAGCTTCCATAATTTTTCTTCCTTTATTTTGACTAAGAAAATCGAAGCAAAATCTGTGTCATAAACGCTGATTGACGTAGGTCGTGTAAGTGTGCATTCAGCTTGCCTTGTGCTGCGTCTTAATATGCGCACACGAACTGCTCGATATGTGATGACATGACATAACGTGACGTGTGCTGCGTGGGGTGTCTCGCATGTGTCTCAGGATAAACGCACACAGGAAGAACAAGACTGTTTTAAAACACGTCTATACCTATGTGGTGGATTCATCTCTCCAAAAAATCCTATATGGTTATTTCGCCACTGCAAGAAAACCTACAAAATAAAATAGTTATTTTTTGTAAACACTTCTGCGTTAATCCAAACGGAAACTAGGTACTTGTCAGAAGTTAGGTTTACAGATATAATAATTTGCCTAACGAACAAAAAAATAAGCTTAACGTTTCGGAAAGTTTATCTCTTTCCGTCGTCGGAAGCAAAAAAAAATACAAAGAATAAAGAAAAAAACTATTTAAAATATTTAAATTCAACTATTCGAGAACACTTTAGTTTTTTTTTCAGCGTTCATGGGACACAGGGCACAGAATAAATTTTAATAACGCCCAAATTCTAATTAAAAAAGCGATAGCCTCTAAAAGAAAAATAAAAGAAAAAATTTTAAAAAGTTATACAGAAAGTTTGGGATTTTTTGGTTTTACCTTATTAAGTAATTGTTATCAGGTAGTAATTATTAATTTTGAAGTTTAAGTTGGATGTAATGCCATTTTAACAGAACGTCAACGGTTTTTGTAGACGTATCTGTTTTAAAAAACTAAAGTGTTTTCGAATAGTTCAATTTAAATATTTTAAATAGTTTTTTCTTTATTCTTTGTATTTTTTTGCTTCCGACGGCGGAAAGAGATAAACTTTCTGAAACGTTAACCATTTCTTTGTTCGATAGGCAAATTTTTATATCTGTAAACCTAATTTCTGACCAGTCGTTTCCGTTTGGATTAACGCAGAAGTGTTTACAAAAAATAACTATTTTATTTTGTAGATTTTTTTGCAGTGGCGAAATACCCATATAGGATTTTTTTGGACAGACTGTTTTAATCAAAATTGTTATGTATTTTATAAAAACAAAAATCCAGTACTCAACGTAGCCTAACTAACTAAACGAGCCTAAACCTGTCTTAACGCTTGCGACTGATCAGTGTGCGTTGCTATGGAGGGTAGAAGTAAGGAGAATTCGTGTTTTGAAAAGTGGTCACCAAAGAGGGAACCATTAAGATGGCGCTGCTGTAGCAAAAGTTCTATATTTAAAATGGACCGCCAAAAAGTTTTAGAACAGGAAATAATAAAAAGATATTGATAAATATGCGATTAACTTCACATTGTTTATAACCGCTGAGTTCCGTTTAATTCTTTATTGCTTATTAGCAATTAACCCTTATTTTCCTTTTTTAGGTGACCACATTTTCAAACAAAATCCCATAAGAGGTGTTTTTCCTTAGATCTACCCTCCATAGTCCATGCTCAATGTACACCAGGCCTAATCCTCTGAAAATAATATATTACAACGTTTTTGTTCTATCTGTGTACAGGGTGTTCTAAATTTTAGGGTGCATAGTAAGAGTTATATTGGAAACTAAAACAAATTTAGTTACAGTTTTTCGAGAAGATATTAGACATACTTTTTTCAATATCTGTATATAGTCAATATTTAAGTTTAATTGTTAAAGAAGTGATCTAGATAAGTATAATTTGTTATCTGAATGGAAAGCTTTAGTTTGTTGTGTGTGTGTGTGTGTGTGTGGGGTGGCGCGCGCGCAACACGGGTGATGCTAATGTGTTGTGTGTTGTTATTGAGCAGCACGAGGGGGGCACTAATCCCACCGAATCTATGACCAGGGCGCTGATAAGCGAAGACGCTATCGCGAGGCAAAGCGGCCCCGTCCAGCTAGGGTACGTATACACAAAGAGGGGAAACATTTATTCAGAATCGCATTGGTCTAAATATATCATTCCAAACAGTAGAATCGAGAGTAAAAAGTTCGTGGAGTAGAATAATTTTATATCTACACGGTTCTGCAACAGTGCTTCAGGTACCTATAGTTCCTATAATAAAGAACTTAGTGATTTCGTTTAGGTGAGGACTATTTGTTTTTTGATTTTGAGGGGGAATTAGTTTTTTGATTTTCTAAAAAGTAACGACAGGATAAAATTAAATTAATTCTCAAAAAAATCCGTTTTTCCAAAAAACTCAGCAATCCCGGAAATTTTTTAAACTTTTTCGATGGCATCTTGGTGAACATCCGAAAGGCGCAACTTTGTCCCAATTTAGCCATGTTCGTAGCTATTACGGTTACCGAGATACCAATGCTCGTACCTCTAATTTGTAGAACCCTGTATATGTATATACATTATCAGGCTACATCGTGTCCCGTATTCATATTCCTAACTTTCAACTCTCTCTATCTCCCAATCCATCTACTTCCAAACCTCTAAATAAAAAAACTTCGTTGTCAGTACTCTCTCTCCAGGTCTTGCATGTTCTTCCCACTTCTTGTTCTTCTCCCTTGGGAGTTCCAATTTAATATGTTCTTTGGGATTCGATGCTCTTTCATACTTTGGACATGTCCATACCATATTAATTGTGGAGTTCTAATATCGTCTACGATTTTCCAGCCGCTCTCTTCCAAAAGCGTTAGCGTTCTGTGAATTTTCTCTTTGAATGGCTATCTTTCGGAGCTGCGTGTAGTTATGCTTTTTATGAAGGAGTTGTAAAATTCGTTTTTTGTTTTCTACAGCTTTTCTGCTTTGGATGTTTCTGCCTTTAAGGCGTGTTTCCATTTATCGGCTTTTGTTGATCGGTTTAAGCCGAATTGCAAGACGAGTAACAGCAACACTTGTAGACTGGCCTGTTTCTATTACTCGGTTTTGTATTTAGAATGAATGAATTTCAAAATGACATGAATGAATTTCATCATGACATTAATGAATTTCATCATGACAAAAAATGAATTTCAAAATGTAAATTACGTAAAAAGTTTATAAATGGAAGATCATCACTAAGTCTGATTAACTTGATTATTTTGATCTCTATTTGCCCGTATATGGAAATATTCGATACTGCTGTTTGGAATGATATATATTCTGTGATTTATAACTATTCGACTCAACAATTCACTCATACACATGGTCATTATATTGGTTTTATTACCAAGTATCACCTGCATGTCATAAATATAACAATCGAATGAATAAAATCAGAGTTGGGTTAATTTGTTTTATATATTTATATTTTATTGTATATTCTTCTCGGTAATTTGAAAAATAAAAAAAAAGTTCCAGTATTTAGAGATACAAAACTATAAATCACACATTTTTTGCATTTGGTACTTGCTACATAACTATATTAAGTTTTTTTTATTTAGAAATATCACAAATATTGGATATGCATTATTTATTGATTGACATAACTTAATCCAATTCTGATTTGATTGACATAACTTAATCCAATTCTGAAGGCACTTCTGATTAGTAGCATATATTTTGCACCAATGTACAGCCTAGAACCAGAACCCCAGTTTTGTCACTGACATGCCACAAGACAGAATATGTCAAAGTTTATTTCAATGTAGTACACAATTCTAATTTAACTTACACGTCAGATAAATCACTGGCCATTATTAAATGTGAACTAATCTAAATCCTAAAACTACTGAGCTTACATACTAGGAACTTATTCGCCCGTTATAGAGTTATTGGGTACAATTAAGCATACCAATCAAGTTATCCACCGAGAGCACCAGTTTTGGTAGGTGTTAGAAATAATTGACAGATTGTGGAAATTTCCATACTTGGATAGCTGAAAATGTTATTAATTCGCGCGTTTTACAGTGAAGTGTCCTGCGGACATCCCGAGCATCGTACCACAGTGTATTGTCCTGCTTGGACCACACGTAGTCTGCAGTACTCTACTTCATTATTTCATCTCTATGTGTATGTTTTTTATGTTCGTTAAGTCATGCATTTAGAGGACATGTTATCCCTCCTATATAATCTGCACTCACAAGAATGTTACCTGGATCAGATGTACTCTTTCTCTTGTTTCGATATATCACGGATCAGTTCACACTTAGTAACTGTCATTGATACACCTGACCGAAACGTTGTGTAAGTTAAATACGTTATATACACTTTTCTTTTTATCCCTGGCTATGGGTTCTATATACAGTACACCCTCCTGGATGTAGTACTTAAGACTTAGGGATTCTGGGTCTAAGTTGCGTTGGTTGCAAATTGTTGTCATAATCTGCTGTTTGTCCTTTATGTATTTTGTATCGCTAAAATATACATCTTATAATTTGGGATCCACTGCATTGAATAGCACCTTACAGCCAGAAACACGTGTACGGTTCATATTATAAAAAAATGTCATTTTTTCTGAATAAAGAAGGGTCATGCCAATATTGACTTTCCCTTTTATATATCTTATCTTACAGGCGAATCGAATAATTCGGAATTTTGCAAAAAGACTAGGCATATTTTAAACAAAAGAAGGAAATTTTACAAATGGCCTATCTGTTTCCTATCGCTCTGCAAAATGCCTAATCAGAATTAAACAATTCTTGTGTTAATAAGTAGTTTAGTAATTTATTAAGTATTTAATATATATTTTGTATTTAAACTTATATATTTTTTTTTCTCCTGTCTTGGGTATGAGGTTTTTTTTTATTAATTGAAAATGGAAACTTTTTTTTTTAATTATGCGACGTTTCGCCTCATCATGGTGGGCTTTCTCAGGCACTTTATTCTTGAAGCCGCAGCCGCCTTGCTACCACCAGTCTATATAGAAGAATGTAAGTGAATTCACGTATATAGAAAAAAAGTTAATTTATCACCTTTTTATTTAAAAATACATCTCACGGTGTGGTGTGTACAGGGTGGGTCAAATTCGACGCTTTTAAATGGAAACACCCTTTTCTATAGGAGATAGACAAAAACTAATATCGGTGTCTGGAGCTCAATTTTTATCAAAAACATGATGGTGAAAACCGCATATCGATATCTGTTACCGTTTCAGAGTTACGGGGTGTTTTTCAAAAATATGCATTTTTAACAAATCGCTGTAACTTTTTTGCTATGAAAAATTTTGTATTTTTATGAAAACATTTCCAAAGCACCTTTTTACGTAGAATTTAATGGTTTAAGTATAATTTTTTTAAAATTAATAATTTAAGAATTATGAACAGAAAATTTGATTTTTTATATGAGACACCCTGTATATTTTTAATTTATTGAAAATAATTTAAAATTACCTTTCCAAAAATATAACACACTTGATATTTTGCTCGATTCCTCTTCGAGATATAGAGTATACAAAAATTCGCCCACTTTAAATAAGTAGGCTTTGAATGGCACCGGCTGTAATGCAAAAAATTTCTAGCTGTGAGCATCAATTAAAACGAAAATAATATTTGCTATGAGAGATGCAGAATTTTATAACAATTTAAAATATATTTAACCAACATCAACACGTTTAAACTATATCTGATGACAATAAAAATAAATAGCAAACCAAAACAAGAGATTTTGCTGCAGGTGTTCGACCGTCTTCTGTTATATCGACCATCTTCTGTTATGGACAGACTGGGCAGTTTCTGAACATTTCTCGCGGAATTCATTAACTCAGTGGGGGTGAAAGATACCCTCTCATAACTGCTAAGTATTTCTAATTCTTGTCTAGATTATACGGAAGAATAAGGAACCTTTATTCTTCCGCAAATATATCCATAGGATTAGATCCATGGGCACTAAGTCAGGTGGCCTCGACGGCCAACGGCTGGGATCTTGGTTAGCTCAACAATTGTTTTTAAAATTAGCTGCAAAAATTGCTGATAACTTTTATTACTTTAGTATTCTGAGGCGGTGCCTCTTCTTGCTGGAAAAAGATGTTTTCGAGTTCCATTAAGGGCATATCACCAATAAGGGGTCCAAAGCCTACTAGTTAAAAGTGGCGAACTTTTAAAAATTCTGTATTTCGAAGGAGAATATAACAAAATATCAAGTGTGCTATATTTTTGGAAAGGTAATTTTAAATTCTTTTCGGTTAATTAAAAATATAGAGGGTGTCCCAAATAAAAAATCAATTTTTCTGTTGATAACTCTTAAATTATTAATTTTAAAAAAATTATACTTATATCATTAAATTCTACGTAAAAAGGTGCTTTGGAAATGTTTTCATAGAAATACAAAATTTTCCATAGCAAAAAAGTTACAGCGACTTGTTAAAAATGCACATTTTTGAAAAACTTGAAAAAACTTAACCGTAACTTCGAAACGGTAACAGATATTGATGTAGGGTTTTCACCATCATGTTTTTGATGAAAATTGAGCTCCAGACACCGATATTAGTTTTCGTCTATCTGCTATAGAAAAGGGTGTTTCCATTTAAAAGCGTCGAATTTGACCCACCCTGTACATATATTCAACTTTAAATTATTTATAAATAGTAGATGCTTACTACTGTGCTTAATGAAATCAGTCGTAATGCGAACAAATAGTTTATACAAAAATCAACAATAAAACAAGCAATTGGCTTTTTATCAATGTTTACATTAATCGAAAACGTACCTTAATTATTTTTGCAGTTGTTATTTACGATAATGACGCAATTCTGGTTGTAAGAATTAACTACTCAACATTTTTTTTTATTTCTGATACGTTTATAATACTTTACATTATAAAAGACACATGTTTAAAATATTTGAAATTTCACGTAGAGGAGAAGCCTCGTGCCAAATATTTTTTTTCTTATTTCAATAATTATTAATTTTATTATTAAAAAAAAATTAGAAGTAAAAATACAAAAGTAAAAATGGCCTAGAACTTTGTGTTATGTGTCCTTTAACTCCATTGTATATAAATATAATTCTATTCTCAATTAGTTCTTATGTATACAGGGTGCGTCTTAAAAGTAGCCCACCCCTATAACTTTTTTATTTTTTCAGGTAAAAAACGAGATTTGGTATGTTAGTATGTGACATAAATTAGGATTGATTGACGTATTTAGTTGATTTAGTCACTTCCTGTTTCACCGGAAATTACTTCAACTTTTGATTTTTAAATGTCACCCTCGGTATTTTTGTACTTTATTCGATAGAAAATGACATTCTGAATAGAATGACATATCATATGTCAACTTTTGACATTTTCGCTTATGGTTTATTTGAAATTGTAACATGCGGTTCATAGCGACAATTAATTTGACTGGAAATACCAAGTGTGTGGTACCAAATTATTTGTAAAAAAACTACTTTTTCCAAATATGCTAATGAGCCACCCTCGTTCCATTTGAAAAAATTGAGTAATGATTTAAGATACGATTTGGGCATCTTTTAACCGCCCCGCCCAGGGCAAGAAATTAAAGACATTAGATGATGAAATTTATTTTTTCAAGGCTCCTTGATTAAAAATTAGTATTTTTAGCACAGCCACATACCAAATCTCGTGTTTTTATCTGAAAAAAATAAAAAAAGTTATAGAGGTGAGCCACTTTTGAGATGTACCCGGTATACGCGATATTGTTTTAGTGTTAATACCAACAAGTAAATAGGTACCTAACAACTATTTTATTGTTAATACTTATAAATATGTATTTTATGTAAATGTTCTCATAAAGGCAAATCAAGCAATATTTTTATAGCATTTGCTACTACTTTTATGATGAATATTTTCGTATTTCGTTAACATACTCATATGCATCAACATACCTACTAATATGTATCTTGACCATTTTCTAATCCAAATACTTATGACCACAGTATTGTTGCATGATGCCTATAAAAATAACAACTAATACATATTATATCTAACGAGTTTTTATATAATAAAAAAATAAATACAAGGTTTTGTAAATATAAATAATAATATATGAGCTTAAAGGGTTCTTGTAAACAAAAATTATATAAAAATAGGTACCTAGTTAAAGGAATAAAAAGTTTCTCTTGTTACGTCAGTTGTAACTTTACGTCAGTAATTTTATTTTTTTAGATATTTCGAAAAATAAAAAAGCATGTTTATATTCTATCAATTGTATGATAAAATTTTAATAATATTGTAAAGTATGTCCAATGTTTGAAGGAATATTTCGACAACGACATTTAAAAATGGCAGAAAATTATATTTGTCTGAGAATTAAAGTGACAGACACAAATGTCACTGTCAGGGATCCTCTCGTTGAGACAGACTATACTGATAATGTGACTAAAAATCGATAATAAGTAAATTTATAATATCGATTTTGTTTCTTGCTAAATCTCTACTACCCGATGCCCATTTAAAACCAATTTATTTTAAAGTCATCTGAATATACATTTGATATGAGAAAACTTATTTATTTACGTGGCGTAACATTTTGAAATTAATTTTGAATCATTCTAAAACAAATAAACGTTAAAAGGATTTTAGGATAAACATTTAGTCAGTTAATTATATTAAGTAAGTTAATAACTATTACTATATTAAGTAACGATATTACTTTCTCGAAAAGCCATAGATTACATTTCAGGAATATGAACAATTTGTCAGTACTTTTGTGTGTTTCTTAGTATTAATAATTCAGTCAGAAAAAAATTAAAAAATTTAATATTTAGGAAGTAATCGATTTTTTTTATATATTTTGAAGCATGACATGTTAGGGTTCAGGAAGGCGCTACTTTTCTCTAATTTAATAATCATTATATCTATTCTGGTTTACGAGATTTGTGTAGTGTGCATTTATATGGGTCTCCGTGTATATTAAGATCCTTTTCTATCCATAAACCCAGATTTTACTGTATTAAATTGAAATAGATGTTTGAGTTTAAAAATTATATCATATATCCAAATGACTACTGATATTTTAGGTCTTTTGAAAATTAATTACCTATACCGGGTGCGTCTCAAAAGTGGCTCACCCCTATAACTTTTTTATTTTTTCAGATCAAACAACGAGGTTTGGTATGTTAGTATATGACATAAATTAGGATTGGTTGACATAATCAATTGTTTTCGGTCACTTCCGGTTTCACAGTAAATGACTACAACTTTTGATTTTGTGAAGTGGCACTCTCGGTATTTTTTTACTTTATTAGATAGAAAATGACACTCTGAATAGAATGGCATATCATTTGCCAACTTTTGACATTTTCGTATATGGTTTATTTGAAATTGTAACCTGCGGTTCATAACGACAATTTGACTCGAAATACCAATTGGGTGGTATCAAATTATTCGTAAAAAATGCTTTTCCAAATATGCTAATGAGCCATCCTCGTTCTATTTGAAAAAATTGAGATATGATTGAAAATACGATTTGGGCGTCTTTTAACCGGCCAGGACAAGACACTAAAAACATTAATCGATCAAATTTATTTTTCCAAGGTTCCTTGATTAAAAATTAGTGTTTTTAGCACAGCCATGGCACTCTAGATTGAAATTTAAAATACAATTTGTTGTTGAGCGAATATATCAAAAGTTTACATATCGTGGGCGTACAGCGAAAATCCACTAAGTCACATTTTTGGTTGAATTGGATTAAACACACCACTATGTCCAGTTTTTCACGGTCTTTAACATGAAAACGTTAAAAAAATTAAACCGTCATGTTAAAGACCGTGAAAAACTGGACATAGTGGTGTGTTTAATCCAATTCAACCAAAAATGTGACTTAGTGGATTTTCGCTGTACGCCCACGATATGATATGTCATTCGATTCAGAGTGTCATTTTCTATCGAATAAAGTAAAAAAAAAAATAACGAGGTTGCCATTTAAAAATCAAAAGTTGTAGTCATTTCCGGTGAAACAGGAAGTGATCGAAAACAATTGAATACGTCAATCAATCCCAATTTATGTCATATACTAATGTACCAAATCTCGTTTTTTTATATGAAAAAATAAAAAAGTTATAGGGGTGAGCCACTTTTGAGACGCACCCGGTATACATATTCAAATTCATTTACTTATCAGTTGTCACATTATCACTATAAGTCATGTCATAATATAATATTTTTATATCTTTTTATGTTTTTTTTTATTAAAATATATTAATAAATACGAAATATTACGAAAATTCAAAATAAAATTTGAAAATGGACAAGAAACAGCAATCCAACATCGCTCATTAACACATAATCCTACTTGTCCATAGGACAGTTCAAATTGTAATTTAACCTTTTTTACTTGACACAGTTTTTCAGAGAAGCATTATGACCCAGAGGAGTACTATCCATGGTCAGTAGAACTCTTATTATCTATGGTTTAATTTAAGATTATTTATACCTCTATTAGAGTACGCACAAAAATTTATTATACACAAATTTCTTCCTTATATCACTTATCAAAAAAAAATAACAAGAAACTATTTTGACATATGTCTTCTGTCAAAATTGCACCAGAGAGAGTAGGCGCGTAGGCGTACAAATAAAATAACATTTGAAATTGAACGTATGCCTCTAGCTGAAAATCTTTAGAGTGACAGCTCATCAAAATTGCGATCTAAAAATAAGTTTTTTAGTTCAAAATATCATCACATTCATCACATTGTTGTAATATATATTCGAAATTTTTGTATAATAAATTTTGGTTGGAAAACCTGGGAATTATATATTAATGTGGGGATTAGAATAGTCGCTTTTTGCTTTAGTCGCTAGAAATTATATTCATGTCTTTATTTTTGTTCTAATATTACTTTATTAGTTAGCTTTAGTAGACAATCGCCAAAGCTTTGTGCTGAAATTGCAATACTTATAACAGATCAGGCTCAAAAGCAAGGGATATTACTCAAAAAAAGAAATGAACTGTTTTTTTAATAACCTAATTTAATGTTGCTTGGATTTCTTATTATTAACAAACCGAAAACATCCGAAAAAATAAATAAATAAAGCACACACGATATTTTTTCCGCAAAATAACCAGAGAATATGAAATGTTGGCTATGTCCATTCGTTAATTCTTATTATTGTTATTTTAATTAATTTGCCGAATAAAAGAAGTACATAGATCTGTTTAAAAATTAGCTTTGTCGCCGGAGTGATCCTGAGGGAGAGGATTCCCGCTTTCGAACGGATGTTATGGAGGGCGTGCCGTGGCAATGTGTTCCTGCGTCAAGCCGAGATCGAGACACCATTGGAAGACCCATCAACGGTAATGAGTAATTTATAACACAACTTGCTAATTGCATTAAATAAAATAATTATTGTTAAAGTTTCTATAAACTTATATCCTATTCTCATCTGTAAAAATAATTTATTTCATACTGTATCGTATAAAGCTTGATTTTCACGCATCTGTTATCCGACGATACGATAATAAGATATTAATTTTATTGGTTGAATTTAAAGACTTCAGTTGATTAGAAAATTACGCAGTTTTTAAATTTATTGCATTTTCATGCCTCCGTTCATCGGATGTACGATTTGCTTGTGATTGGTGTCATTATATATTTTCATTTCCATAACGATTTCGCTGTTTTACTTAGCTAGCAACGTTTTCGAGAGAGAATTTTAAGAGAGCTGGTTCTTTAATATATCTTTTGCTATGCTCTCCTGAACAGAGTGCGGACCGTCTGGCTACCGGTAGACGTTGCGTTCACTACTGCGCATCACAAATTCGCCCTATATTTCAGGAACTAAGGAGGCTAGGACAAACATGTGTAGCATATTTAGTTTCATAAAAAAGGTAGCAAAGTAATGTGAGAATTGCATCATTGTTTCTCTATTCATAAACGAGAAATCCTATAAAACGAAAATGGGATACGCTAAACTGATGTGATGCGCAGTAGGCTACCGGCAGCCAGACAGTCCACACTTTGGTCAGGAGAGCATAGCAAAAGTTCTCGTTTTCCCGACGTTGCTAGCTCTTGTACTATTATATTTTTATTAAGGTTAGATTTGGGTTAGATTAAATTTGTCAAAAAAGTGTCAAAACGTCCGTTATCGTACAATCTTTCTCCGTTGACAGACAAGTAAGCTGGAGTAAAAAAATTACGGATGAAAAGTGGCGCTATGTCCAATCATAGGGCTTGTCCACTCCGGGACATACTTGTCCACCCCGGGCAAGCCTTCCCAAAAATCCGGACGTCATAATTTTTTAGCGATATAAGGGCAAAAATAGTATATTATTTTATTCGGAGTAAAAATGATACTTTTTGTGGCGAGGCTGTGGAGTGGACGTTTGACATACACGCGAGGGCACAAAAAATCATTTTTACTGTGAATAGAACATGCTATTTTTTTCAAACGCCACTTTGTACGCCATACTTTTGTACTTAAGCTTAAAAGTGCTTTACTTTATGCCTGGGCGTTAAATTACTTTTTTATGTTGTCAATCACGTTGCAAAAATTAATACTTTTGTGTCGTTTGAAAAAAATACATTTACAAATCTTAAAACTTAAAACTTACGAAGTAAAACAATGAATTTATACTGCTGAATTTATCAACGATTTTTTAAGTAACTAAATTTATTAAAACTAATATACTTATTATTTTGCATTATTGTGACATTTCTTAATGGAACATTAAAATCCGGACGCTTATGAAAAATCCGCCCGGGCTCAATCGGACGTAGTGAAAATCCGGACATGTCCGGATTAATCCGGACGTCTGGTAACCCTAACCAATTAGAGCGCCCTCGAACCATCGTATCAATAACGGACGCATAAAAAGCCAGCTTTACACACTTTTCCATACTTGATTTCAGACCGGAAGATAAGATTCATACAGTAGTAAGTCCGGTAATTGTTTTTGTCGTACTAGGCATCCTCGTTTATGGAGGCTACCTTATTATCCTGTGTGTTTTCAGTTCCCACTAGTTAAACACAGCAAATTCTTGTTAATACCGTGCTGATGGTTTTCTTGATATAAACTACCCTGTAGCCTCGTAAGATTTCTCCATAACTTCAGTCGGAATCAGATTTTCAGTACTTATCATCTACATTTTATCAGCTTTTGTAAAGTAAATAAATTCTTTACATAGTTTGTTTGTATATTTTGCATATAGAGGTAGAAAAGAACCGGTAGAAAACTTTTAAACACTATTGTTTTTCGAAGTATTCTTTACGAGGAGAAATGCATTTTTGCATCCGTTGGAACCAATTCTGAAAGCAGATATTCCACTCGCTTGTGGTACTTTCAAATTTGCATTTTTGGAGGTGCTATCTATATCTTCTGGGGACTGGAACCTTTGACCGCACAGTTTATTCCTAATTTTTGGGCAAGCAAAAAAGCCGTTAGGACTTAAGTCGGGACTGTATGAAGGATGGTCCAATAATTCGATTTTTCTTGCTTTAAAAACTCAATTATTTATCGAGCTGTTTTGAATTTGCCTTGTCTTGGTTGGAGGAACATTCGTCGTTCAGGATTTTTTTTTCCGAAACTCAGCAATTACCCTCGGCAAAGAAATAGATATGTACCAACCAGCAGTAAAAGTTCTTGGATCTGGCAGAGGAATTGTTGCTACATGACCCGCTTTTAAGTCAAATGTCGCCACCATATTTTTGGACACACTTCAAGAATGGAAGAAGTTTCGTCGGTTTTAGTTCATCTAACACCCAAATAGCCGATTGATATTTATTTTCGGGTTCATGCGAGTAAATCCAGGATTCAGTACCACTCTGTATATTTTTTTGAGTTTCTTGCGTTAAACTGGTGTAGAGTTTTTTGACACCAATTTACTCTAAGTGTGTTGTGTTCTTCCGTCAACAAATGCGGTATCCAACCAGAAACTATTTTTTTACAGATAATTCATGTATTTTTTTTTTAACTAAGGTCTCTAAAATCCCCAATGATACTTCAATTTCACGAAATGTGACATGTTGATCTTGGATCAGCTACGTACAGCATCGATATTTCTTAGATGACTGCTGTTGTTGATACAGCTTTCTTGGATCTAATCCGTCAGTTGTATCAATTCCGTCTTGGAAGACGGTTGGTTGATTAAGGTTGATTCTCACTATAAGGTTAATTCTCACTATACCTTCCATATCAGCTCCCTTCCGTTTACACACAATATTATATCATGTAATGAATAGAACAATGCACATTATCCGTTCCGTTTCCCTTCCGTTCCATATCCTTTCCTTCCATACATTTTTTTGGCGGACGGACTGAAGCGTATCGGAAACAGCGTTGTCAAGTTCTTACATTTGTACCAGCTCTGTTAAAATTTTGCTGATATGAAATTACCTTTTTCAAAAAATATAAATTTTTAAAATAAAACTTTCGTAAATATTGTACAATTGTACAATGAAAAGTATGGAACTGATACGGAATGGAAGCTTACGTATAGCGTCAATACAATAAAAGATACGGAACGGATATGGAATGGAAACGGAAGGTATAGTGAGAATCAACATTAATTCATACCAAAGAGAAATTGTCAGATGTGTTGCTTCATTGCCAAAAACAGAAACCAACGCGGCAAGGCATTGGCATATATGATATATGTTGTGTTGACATTGACATATGATATATGTTGACAGGCGCCTGCTATGTTTCTATATGCAAAATATAAAAGACAACCTTGGTAATAGCACTGACTTTTATGTAATTCATTCAAAGCATTCTGCACCAAATTCAAATTTTATGTCAGTACTGACATTGTTTCTAAGTAGTAAATAATATAGTATCCAAAACATACATAAGCGGATATAGAAAAACAGGTTTAATCCGAACAGTATGAAATAAATCATTTTACGTCATTCGTCCGCAATTATTAACTTTTACAGTATTCGTTTCGAAATTCTATAAACATCTCACTCATACTGTAAAAGTTGATATACCAGACGTAAAGTAAATACCGCATGGTCGAATAAAAACGGCGTCAGCGATGGCTATGAAATGAAGATCGGTGTCATTTTATATGTAAATTTATATGGGAAATGTCATAGATCGTCATTTCCCAGACAACTGGGCGCTGTTTTTTCGATCATACGGTATCTATTGTAAGTTTTAATTAAAATGTTCTTTTACTGCTTGTCATTTAGGGCGACCAAGTTTACAAGTCCGTCTTCATAATCTTCTTCCAAGGTGACCAACTAAAGACTCGCGTAAAGAAAATTTGCGAAGGTTTTAGAGCCACTCTGTATCCTTGTCCTGAAGCCCCAGCTGATCGCAGGGAGATGGCCATGGGCGTCATGACACGCATTGAAGACCTTAACACAGTAAGAATGCATTTTGTTATTATTAGGTGATTCTTACTAATAGGCAAATCAAAATTAATATCTACAATTTTATTATTAAAACATTATTATCTATATAAAATACAGAAGTTTTTTTTATAATTTACTCATAAATATTATTTATTTTTACATTCGATGATTTCCTGGATTATTTTCTAGAACTTAAACACAATTAATTGATTACTTTGTTGCTATAGGTTTTAGGTCAAACCCAAGATCACAGACATAGGGTATTAGTAGCTGCCGCAAAGAATATCAAAAACTGGTTTGTAAAAGTCAGGAAGATCAAAGCTATCTATCACACCCTCAACTTGTTCAATCTGGACGTAACACAAAAATGTCTGATAGCTGAGTGCTGGGTTCCAGTGCTGGACTTGGAGAACATTCAGCTGGCTTTAAGAAGAGGAACTGTAAGTAACATTTTGTTATAAACATAATTATTTAATATTTAAAAGATTACTAAGTATAAAATATTAAAGGATTAAAAATTATAAAGATTTTATTATTTAACATTAATCTTTTGGTATAAGTAAAACGCACAGATTTGACGCGTGTCCAAACTAGAGACGTTCTACTGTATATCAACGTTTCTAATTTTTTAGCATTTATCTTACTTTTCTTCATCTACCAATTTCTGTATTTCTTATGGATACAAATTATGCATATTGATTTAGCGTTCTTATCACATCCTCACACTGTACTGCAATTTTGGAAAAGAAATTGACTTGTAAATTTATATTTTTCGTATATCCGTTTTAAGATAATCTACTTGATATAAACCTTTTTTTGTCCAAACTTCAGTTTTTGATTATTGATGGCATCAGGTGTGCAATTAATAAGCCCTTGTCTCCTTGAGATTTTTATAGATAAAAGAAACACGGTCTCTTTATTTAGATGAAGAATAGTTCTTAGATTTGCACTTTATAATTATCGAACAAGTCGTTTCTACTTAAACCTAGATACTATAGAACAGATTATTAAGTTTTAAATTATTTTTTTATTCATATATTTTAATGCATTCAACAATGCTGGAAAGATATATACAGATTGTTAACTGGACAGTTACTTATAGGGGAACAGAATGGCAACACTGCCTATTGAGAACGCATGCACTTATAGGGTTTTCTGCCGACTCGTCCCGTAGCGTCGTCTATCGACGAGCGGGCCGAGATTGCCATATTTCAACCATAAAGCTCTTGCCGCGAATAATAAACAAATTAACAACTTGTATATCGAAATATTAAGTGGTTTTTACTGTTTAGGAAACATCAAAATTAAAAGTATTTATTTCACAGAAACCAAATTCAATTAAAATAGAACTTAATTTAGTATTAAAATTAATTTTTAATACTAAAATAAGAAAAGTTTACCAGCTCTTACTTTTACAAACCTATATTTAACTAATGTCCAAATGTAAGTTCTCCATTTCAAAATTTGAAAACGATTTTTCAACTATAGGCGTTTCTATTAATACAATACCTATAAAACATTGTACAGGGTGTCCAATTTTGGTTGAAACCATGCTGTATTGTATCCCCGTTATTAGTGAAGGTAGAAGGATGCGGTTTGTACAAACCTGTCCCATTATTTTGTCAAGCGGAAGATGGGGTAAACAATATTTTTATAGCCCTCTTCGTTTCTGAGCTACAGGCTCTTTTTTCAAATTTTGCAATTTGGTACACCCCTCGTATCTCTGTTATTGTGAAAGGTATCGAGAAGATGAAAACTGTTTCTTGTAAAAAAAATACATAAAATACAGTATCGTAGTCTGTTTTTTTCTACGAAAAAATATTTGTGAAGGTATGAACTAAATATTAATAAACAATATGATCCGGCTTGCTCGAGTTTTTCAAAAATATATTATTACACTATCTATTTTCACTATTTACTGCAATATTTAAAAGATTGGCCAAATACTCTGTAATAATAAATTGAAACACAATCAAAATGGATAGAGGCAAGACATACTTGTAACGTAACTTGAAACTGATAAAATCGGTACGTGTGCTCAAGTAGTAATTTCGAAACGTATTTGAAATTTTTTAAATATAAACTACCTCAAACACCCTAAAACGCTTATAAAGCCTATAATTGATACAGTCGAAGTGTACTTGGATCAAATACACATGGACATTGGATGCTAGTTGAATCGTATCCACCGATTTTTGGTATGATCCAAACAGTGCTCAAGTGTGCCAGGTATTATCAAGTATTTTTTATTTCATTCAAAATAATAAAAATTGCTTTGACCGTGTCAACCGGGCCCGAATTCTGTTACTTAGAAAACGCTAAGCGCTTTTAGACGCTCAGCGTATATGACGTTAATTTTCGCTGAGCTCGCCTTGACTACCGATTTGGGCATTCTCATTTGATGCGCTTAGCGTCTTTATCCATTGCGCCAAGCGATTTGAAAACGGCTACCTTACAGAATCGTTTTGCTTGTCGGAACTGTAAGTGAAAATATAAATAATTGTAATTTTGTGCGTTCTCTTGCTCTTTAGTGAAAACTATTTCTTCTTCTATAAATTCCTCAATAAGTAACTGATAATAATTTGCGACTTGGCAGTTATAAATACTGTTCAAAACATTTAAAATGCTGAGAAGCCTTTTCATAATTTCCCTCGTATAAAAAGAATAATGACATATCTATAGAAAAATAGGTTGATATAACCATATATAAATGCAACAAGTTTAGATTGGAAAGCCCGTATAAATTTTGGATCGCGAAATTATTTTGGGTCGCGACCGTTATAGGCGATCTGGCGCTGCTATAGCGGTCGCTAGAAACAACGGCAAACAAAAACAGAAATAATTTTCTCTTGTCAAAGTCAGAATCTTCAAAAATCATAATAATCTTTCAAAATCTAAACCGCTCTCATTAAAGAAATCCCGAAAAGTGTTTATAGCGTCCATTTTCAAAGTAATTATTGCTATAAATTAATAATTATTGGTATTTCATACATGCGTCCTTACATAAAATAAAGTTTCTTGTATGCAACACACTGTATTTTATTTATAAAATTAAACGAAAATAATAATAAATTTGAATAAACAATATTTGGCGATATAATTCCGGAAAAAGCCGAACCGCTCCGAAATTTTCAAAAGTTTTGGGTCGCGACCGTTGCAAGAATAGCGCCAAATAGTGTTTACATTGTCCTTATGGGCACTTTCCAATTTAAACTTGTTTCATTTATCTATGGATATAACTCAAGAATAGGTTATGAAATTCACGTAACATTTACATTTTTTATTGTTTTATCCATATTTGACTGAGAAATTGCGATGCTGTCAATATGTGCTCAAGGCGTATCCAGAACACGATTCGGACGGCAACGAGAATACCAAAATCGACTGCTTGGCGTTCCGCTAATCGAATACTGTTGTTTACCGCTTTGAAAGCGTAACGTTTTTATGTGAAGTTCCAGAATTCGTGCCCAGGCTTTAGGTAAAATAATGATAACGAAACGTTGAATGATCGTGGTACAGACTATAGTATGCCTTTTTAATTCAACACTTTATAACCACCCGTATATGGAGTGAATTTCGTTTTTTTTAATACATATGTCGGAAACAGTAAAAGGTTTGGAAGACACACTGTTCGAGTCATACCGTCATTTTTATTTCTTAGTTAACGTTTTATAAGTTTGTTCTTAGTTTAAATTTATTTTGAGATCCATTTTTTTTACAACATTGGACACTCTGGACTTATTTTCTATTTTTGGTATAATTATGACATTTTCAGGAACGAAGTGGTAGTTCTGTGCCACCCATCTTGAACCGCATGGACACGCCCGAGGATCCGCCCACCTACAATCACACCAACAAGTTCACCTCGGGTTTCCAGGTGTTGTACGACGCCTACGGTATCGCCTCCTACCGGGAAATGAACCCAACTCCCTACACCATCATCACTTTCCCGTTCTTGTTCGCCGTGATGTTCGGCGACTTGGGACACGGCTCTCTAATGACGGTCTTCGCGGCCTGGATGGTCCTGAAGGAAAAGCCGCTGCAGGCGCAAAAATCAGATAACGAGGTAGGTATTAGATTTTTCTTGCACTGATTTTAATGTATACTTCAAATTGCGGTTATAGGTTAGGTTAGGTTGCTGGGGTTTGGGATCATGTTTGATCCTTCACTCGGAGGCCTTGAGCCCATTGCGATACCCCTGTATTGTTGTACCAAACCTTCCTCTCATTTTTGCTTTGCGTTAAAGCACTTCCAGCTCTTTACAAAATTCCCGATGTCGCTGATGTTGGCTTCTGCTGCTTCCTCTAGTCCCCCCAAAAAACCTTGCACTAAAGTTTTAAAGCGTCGGTATCCCAGTGCCGAACAGCGACACACCAGATGCTCTATGGTTTTTTCTTCCTCCCTGCATTCTCTGCAGTAGGCGTCGTTGGAAATCTTCCATTATGCGTACTAGGTTCTTTTTCTGCTCTAGTACTTGTTTTGTCTTTTTGCTATCTACCACTGGTCACAGTCGTCGAGCTGTGACGCCTTACACATATACATATACATCCACACAATTTAAAATTCGCACAATTGTAGCACAAACTAAAGGAGCCAAATACTGTTAATTAATGAATAGTAATTAATTAACTTTTAGGCATTTAAACCTTTTTTGTCGATAAAGTTGTTATAAAATTAGGCTGGTGGTATTATTCTCAGTAAATAATGTTCCTAATGGCACGGTCCATCTCTATCTGCCGACATGAGTGATTTCTTGTACGTCTTGTCTTGGTATTTTAACACTTATTTTTAACCTTTATACATTGGATTCTGAACGCAATGATGATTCTTATTTCAAGTTCCACTGTATCTGATCAACATGAATAGTTTCTTGAACAACCCTTGCTATTTAGCCTTTTTTTGTCAAAAAAGTATGTGCTATTTTTTGCCGAAAAATTTGTTAGAAGTTAAACAGACTGGATTCTGAAGAAAATTATGCTTTTTATGGCATGTTTCATTAATATCTGAAGAGATGGATGACTTCATATACACATCTTGATATTTTAACTTTTTTGTCAAAAAAGTTGTTAAGAAGTTAAACACAGTCTTGATTCTGAGGAAAATGGGGGTTGCTAAGGGATCTTCCGTTCATATCTAAAGACATGTAGAATGTAGAATGTTTAGGAGGGGAGTTAATCACCGCGTCCTTACAGATCTATTTTGTGTTTCCCTTTCTTGAGTTATAACGAGTTATAACTCATCATACAGTCTCAGGGTTTTAACAAAAGCCAGTATTTGAGACGGCTCCACAGAGGCCAGTTCTCCATCCTCGATATCAGCCGTACCAAAGTTCATGGCACGAACGGTCGTCGTCTCGGCGCTCTCAGTGATAAGGTGTTCTGGTGTTTCACCATTTTCCCCACAGGATCTGCATTCGCCGTTGTTTCTCAGCTTCAGCCTACTGAGGTGTTCGTTGAGGAGACAGTGTTCTGTTCGAAATCGCGTGACAATCCGAAGATTGTTTTTACTTAAATCAAGGAAAACCTTTGATTTTTCTCGGTTACAGTTGAGGGTTGGAACCTTTGGTGTTACACAGCAAAATAAAAACACTAAATCACCACAATACACCAAAACACTTTTACTTTTACACTGGACGCGCGTTTCGCTAACCATGTTAGCATCATCAGCAGATGATTATAAAACTAGTTTAACTTTTTAACTTCAGTTTTATAATCATCTGCTGATGATGCTAACATGGTTAGCGAAACGCGCGTCCAGTGTAAAAGTAAAAGTGTTTTGGTGTATTGTGGTGATTTAGTGTTTTTATTTTGCTTTTTCTCGGTCGTAAGTTCTGGGGAACTTTTTCGAGTGTCTTAGACCGTTGACACCCATTCCATGTTACGGTTAGGAACAGAACGGTTCTGGTCCAGTTAGTGGAGTGTTCGCTCCTTTTCTAGCTAGATCATTTGCTTTTTCATTGCCTTCTATCTCTTGGTGAGCAGGCACCCAGAGTAGGAGGACTTTCTTTTCTTTGTCTAATTTGTTGAGCTTCTCTATGCATTCTTTGACCAACTTCGAATTGATGGTTACTGAGTTGATCGCGTTTAGTGCTGCTTGACTATCGGATAAGATGGCTATTTCCTCCTTTCGATAGTTCCTAATAGATAAATACTCCTATCCCTGTCCCTGCTTTGGTTTTGGACGCATCGGTATACCCCGTTATGGTATGGTCTTTTACATTCTGAGCAAACGTTTCTTCCTTCCAATCCTTTTTATTACTCGATACTACAGTGAGGTGTTTCTCAAAGTTGTAAATTATTGGTATGTCATCCACTGGGAGTTGGTATCTAATATTTTAATTCTCATTTTTGCCGGAGCAGTTGTTAAGTAAAACAGACGAGGTCTGGATGTAGGTGGTGATGCTCTTGATAGTATCGTACAATCGAAGAAAACTGCGTCCAGTTGTCTTGTATTGTTACCAATGACGCCGTCTTTTTTTTCACATTGGTACACATAGATCAAGAATGCTACAATGTTATTTTTTTAGATGTATCTTTTGCATAGGTTTTTTAAATTGTAAAATAGGTGAATTGTGTATTGTTAATAATCAAACATACAATTTATTTCAGATTTGGAACATATTTTTCGGTGGACGGTACATCATACTTCTAATGGGTCTGTTTTCCATGTACACTGGACTAATATACAATGACGCTTTTGGAAAATCTCTAAATATATTTGGATCTAGTTGGCGAGTTTCAAATTACAATTATAACTATACTCAGTCTGTTACTGATATTATGTTAGATCCAGCTTCAGAGGACTACATAGGTAATGTATTATCAATTTTTATTGGTTTATTATTAAAGAGGTAAATCTAAGGTATAAAAGAGGTAATTAAATTAAATTATTTTTAGGTTATCCATATCCTCTGGGTATGGATCCTGTTTGGCAGCTGTCAAAGAACAAAATTATTTTTCAAAATTCGTTTAAGATGAAAATTTCCATCATTCTTGGAGTTACCCACATGTTGTTTGGTGTTGCTATAAGTTTCTTCAATCATACGTAAGTATTCAAGACAACATAACAAATTTTTAGTTTATTTTATTGGCGTGTAACATATTCTGAATAACCAGTAATATAGTTCATGTCATATAAACTTTTAATCACGTGATTAAGCTTGACCGACACGCCGCGTTGTCCACTTTTACATATTTTCTTTAAATCAAAATATTTTAGGAAACAAAAATAAATTAATTATAAATATATAAACAGTTATTATTTACATCAACAAAACTCACCTTACCACCCATTACTACCGCTTTCCCGTTCAAAATATTCTAATAAAGTTGCGATGAGTTTTTTACGACTATTACGCTATCTTGTAAACTTCGCACTAAAAGAGGTTCTAAAAAGAACAATGTTCGACTGCAAGGTCTGCTAGTAAAAAATTTTAAGCTTAAAGTATCACAGCACAATTCATTTAAACAAAAAACTCTAATACAAAACTAAAATGTCAAAACAAATGACAATGTCAGGAAATAAATAAATAAATATGGCAACTTGACATTTTTATGATTGGTTCCGAATATATATATATATATATATATATATATATATATATATATATATATATATATATATATATATATATATATATATATATATATATATATATATATATATATATATAGGCTTTAGAAATTTCCTAGAATAGTATAACAAGATAAAAAATGAATATGTCTTTTTATGTTGTCAATCAATCTAAAACAAATAAAATTCGTAATTTAAAATTTAATTGTGATATAACTTATAAAAAAATTGTTGTTTTAGATACTTCAAGAACAGGCTTAGCATTATTTGTGAGTTCATTCCTCAAGTTATATTTTTGGTAGCGTTGTTCTTCTATATGGTTATCTTAATGTTTATTAAATGGACGAAATATTACGCTACACTAACGGGTGAGTAATTTCATTAGTTATTTTTAAAATATTAATCTAAACATGCTAACAATACGTATATTTTTTAGATACGCCTTTGGGTCCAAGATGCGCACCTTCTGTATTGATATCCTTCATTAACATGGTGTTGGTGAAAGACACGCCCTACGAGGCAGTCTGCGAAACGCCCTACATGTACGCCGGTCAGGGCGGTATTCAGATGTTTTTGCTTTTGTGCGCGTTCGTTTGTATCCCTTGGATCTTGCTGGCCAAACCGATCATGATCATGAGAAGCAGAAAAGAAACCAGCCAATATTCGGTAAGTACAATTTATAAATCTTAGAAAATAAATTATAATATTTATTTTCCGCTCTGTAAATGTTTTGACGTTAAATTGAAAATATTCTAAAACTGGTTAAACTTTGGTATAGAAAATTATACACAAAATGTGTTTAGAATTTCACGTATTCAAACAGCATAATATGTAGAGGTCATTTTCATTAAAATTGGCAAATTAACAGCGTCTCCAGTTAATCCAGAAGTCCCAGTAAGTGAAAAAAAAAATAAGTAAAGGTACACCAAAAGTACATTTTTAACCTAATACCATTGATAAATGAAAAAAAAAAGAGGATGTCCAACCTTGTGGGCGAATTCGTGACATAAAAGGTGTTCCGTGATGTTACTTCATGTCGATGACGCAAATTAATACAAAAATTCCTAATAGCAGCAAAAAATCAAACCTCTCGAAGCAATTTGTTTGTATTATACTCTGTCAAATAATAAAATCCTTGACAGTGATAGATGTTGTCTATCATTTTATATCTGAAGTAATGATAATATAATAATAATTTGAAGTAATTTCGATTTATAAAGAAATAAATTGCAAATTAATAAATTAAAAATTTCAGTCACAAATGATTACATACTAAAATATTATAAGTATAATCTGAAAAAAAATTCCATAAACTGAAAAAATCGGGTTGGGCTTTTAGTTTATTTACAAAATATATATTTTAACGTCTGTGTTAATAGGAACCACATACAAAAAATATTGGGTATATAAAAAACTATTTTTGAAGGAACTTTTTGCATTTATTATTATTAATATAATTAATGTACAAAAAAATGTTTTAATTGTAACGAAAATTTCGCTAGATTTTGCCTTTCCTATAATATCTGTATCAATTTTTCTTATTGTTTATATTTTACTGAACTTCGATAGTAATTCGCATCACTATCGCTAGTTGCAAGTTTAAATTGTTTAAATTTTATATCTAATTTAGTGTTGTCGAATTTAGATATGCAATTGTTACAAAATTTGTTTCAAGGTATGTAAGTTATTATTAACTATTTCTTAATTAGAAATAAGTAATTATTTTAACATTTTCTTTTGTTTTATTTAACTTGAAGGTACACTTGAATAAGCACAAATCTCAACAAATGATTGGTTATACATTTAAAAAAAGATACGATAAAATGCGATAATTTGACCCCCTTGGGGTCCCACGTTGGGCGCCAAATGGATAACCCACAATCTGCTGAGATTTGTGGCTTATTGAAGTGTATCTTGGAGTTAAATAAAACGAGAAAATTTTATTAATAAGAAAGTTATATAAATAATGACTTACTTTCTAATTAAGAAATAGTTAACAATTTCTTGCCTACCTTCAAATTAATAAAAATTTAAATATAGTATAATAGTCAAAATGTAACAAATGCATCTAAATTCAGTAACGCAAAATCAGATATTAAGAACCAATAACCTTTGTTATCATTAAAAATAACAATTAATAATCGATAAAAGATAGGCAACCAAAAATATTTAAACAATTTAAGCTTAAAAAGGATAAGATGTGAATTACTATCGAAGTCCTGTAAAATATCGACAATAAGAAAAATAGATACAGAAATTATAGGAAACGCATCGGCGCATAGTTAGTATGGAACTGAGCGAAATATTCATTACATAATATGGGGCATAGAAATTCGAGTAATTAAGACACACTACTTGTGACGACTTTTCTGTCGTTACCCAAATAGAATGAAAAAAGAATCCGTTGCTCAGGGTTAGAGGAAAGCTGGGTTCGTAGGTAAGGCTTCTGACTCACAGTGACTTTCTAATGTTGTTAAAAAATTAAAAAAATGATAATATGTAGGCTGCAGAGATTTTAATATTGATGTTAAGACTTCAAATAGGTATGGTCAAAGACAGTGAAAAGGGCGCCACTTACTTTGTTTATGAGAGTGGTAAAGTAAGAAACCAAAAAGAAAAATACAATATCACAACATAACTAAAATAAAGTAATCAACAGCATTAAGGGTCTATTCTGTTTATCAGGAATAAAAGTCAGAAATAACTACCCTACATTAAACATTTATTGAAAACGAACACAAGTATCATCAATTAGTCACAGTGATCCCAATAAAACCGCAAGTTATTTTAAATAGATTTGAATTTAGTAACTGTATTCTTTGAACTAAGTAAGCTATTTAATAAAAACAGGTGAAATTTATGTATGTCTCAATACGATGATGTTTCGAAACATGTCGTGTACAAAAACATTTAAAATGAATATGTGTTAATAATTTTCATATAAAATATCATAGCTAAGTAAGAGTGTACGAATCAAATTATAACTTATAATGTTAAATAAAAAATAATTTAGACTACAATATGTGGGATAAATAGTGATAATTTACCAGGTTATTAAATCTGTTGTCTCAAAAATTATAAAATAAAAGCGTACCTTGTGTATCAAACTTAAGACTTATCTGTATATAGTTTCTTATGATGTAAACAGGTAGGTAGGTATTCTCCAGACTAACAGAAGTGGATGCAGATGACTATGGCAGGAGAAGTCTTCGATATCAGCCAAAAGAACGATTGTAATGTCAGGAACACTGTCTTAAGGTCTGCCATAGGTCCATACAAAATGAAAGTGGGCGAAACATACAATAATTACTGCATTATTACTGCATACCATGTGGTAATTACTGAGTACCATGTGGTAGTTACTGAGTACCATGTGGTAGTTACTGAGTACCATGTAGTAGTTACTCTATAAATAAAAAATAGTTCTCAGGACAGATACTCAATAAAAAAAACAACTTACGGTCTGAAAATCAGCTTTACATAAATATATTCAAACCATATGCCGATCCAAACCAGTAATTAAATACTCAAATAAACGAAATAAAAAACGGAAATAACTGAAATAGAATTTAGTTAGATAGGGCTATATAAAATGGCGGATAAACTTACGGTGATCATTCCAAGAAGAAACCAAACAAATACGATCTATACTCTGGATTGTATACTTTACAAGGTTTTCAAATTTCCAAATCGGATACCCATGCAATCAAAATCGAAAAGTGGATTCAGAGTGCTTTTCACTGGAAAATTTGTCGGACGCCGAAACACGCGTCTTCTTCAGATCCAAATTCCCAGAAAAAAAGACCTTCTTCTCAGTTTCAGAACCGAACTGTAATAAATGAAGTTTGACATCTAGCGAATAGATGCGCTAATAAAAATTAAATATCGAGACAAGTGAGCTGTAACAAATGGAGTTTGGTATCTTTGGCATCTAGCAAATAGATGGCGCCAATACTAAGAAATTTAAATAAAAATAGATTTTTAAATTCAATTTTATTAAAAGAAATAAAAAATGCTACATACTAATCTACTGTTTATTTCAATGCATGTTTTTTTTTTTTAATTTTAGAGATCTATTTTTATTGCTTAAGTTGAACTTTACAATAAAAATTATTAAGTTTAGGTATAATAAAACACCGGATTTTGTAAATTTATCAAGAAATTTCTTAATTATTTAAGGTTACTCACAATCAATTAAACTCTGCCACTGAGAACGGTGACGCCGAACAACCTATTCATAACAACACTTCCCAGCCGCCTGCAGCCGCCCACGGTGGTGATGGACACGACGAAGAGCCCATGGGTGAGATCTTTATCCATCAGGGCATCCACACCATCGAATACGTCCTAGGATCTGTCTCGCATACCGCGTCTTACCTTCGTTTGTGGGCTTTGTCTTTAGCTCACTCTCGTAAGTATACACTGTTTTTTTGAACTAATATTTACATTCTCTTAATTTATCTCCAAGTCAAAAGATAGTTTTAATTCTGAAAGTATAAAAATAAAGGTGGCCCTTGGCTCTCATACACCAATCTAAAGGTGTAAATGTGTTCGAATCCTGCATCCGGCAAGTTATCAGCCTATTATTTTTAATGAAATAAAACTAGTTTGGGGTTAGTACTTATCCTTAAAATGAGTACTTGGGATTCACAATCCTGAGATAGTAATAGGCGGTTGGAACGTAGTGCTAGCCACATTACCTTCGTTGTATACTTAACGGCTTTAGCATGGCAATCCTGTACCTTTCTATTCCCCAGGCGTTAAGCTTGATTTTCATGCGTCCGTTACCCATTGATACGATGGTCCGACGGCGCTCTGATTGGTCATTGTGTTTTCGCGCCATTTTTCATCCGGAAATTTTTTACTTCAGCTCGTCAACGGAGGAAGATCGTTCAATAACGGACTTTTTTGACAAGTTTAATCTAACCTTAATAAAATTATAATAGTACAAGAGCTAGCAACGCCGGGAAAACGATAATTTTATGAAAGCTAGTTCTTTAATATATCTTTTGCTATGCTCTCTTGACCAAAGTGCGTGCCGTCTGGCTGCCGATAAACTACTGCGGTTCACTACTGCGCATCACATGAGAGAGTTGATAGGCGCATCATATGAGTTGAGATACAATGATGCGATTTTCACATTACTTTGCTATGATACTTTGCTTGATATTGAATAGAAATATGATGCGCAGTAGTGAACGCAATGTCTACCGGCAGCCAGACGGTCCGCACTCTGTTCAGGAAAGCATAATAAAATATATATTAAAGAATCAGCTTTCTTAAAATTATCGTTTACCCGACGTTGCTAGCTCTTGTACTAAACTAAAATTGTCCCTCGAAAACGTTGCTAGCTCTTAGAATATAGGTAAAACGAAATCGCTATGAAAATGAAAATATAAAATGACACCAATCACAAGCAAATCGTACATCCCATGAACGGAGGCATGAAAATACAATATTTTAGAAACTGCGTAATTTTCTAACCAATCGAAGTCTTTAAATTCAACCAATAAAATTAATATCGTATCATCGTATCGTCGGATAACGATTAGTTAATTTTTTTAGTACCCACAGTTTGTCAAAAAAATACATGCAGGGTGAGAGAAAAAATAAAACCGATTTTTTCACTTCCGGCAATTTTTTTTAAAATACAACCTAAAAAGCGGATCAAATTACATTTAGAATTCTTACATTAACGTCTTCTAACCATACCAGGTGAGAAAAGTGGAAAAAGTTAATACATAAAAAATTCGATTTTTTTCAAAGTATCCAGAAAATAGACAATCGAAATCTTTCAAATTAAATAACTCCAAAACTGTGCATTTTCGAACACACAGTTTAAATGGGGCGAATATAGAGCTCCACTAGCTCTATCCGTAGGGGCTTCACTGGTCGTTTAGCTACTTACCGTTTCCGAGAGGAAACATCTTATTTTTATTTACACCTTCTAAACACACGGATTTTGGTAGCTCGACCAGATTACATCCCTGGAAAATGTGACAAAATTTCAAGATGCAAAAAATGTGAAAGTTTAGAGCTCCCTTGAGTTTATTTATATCTCTGTGCTTTTCAAAAGAGCTTTGAAAAAGTTCTTACCGAAATTACATTTTTTACAGAACTCTCTGAAGTACTGTGGAGCATGGTACTGAACAAGGGATTGACCGTCGACGGTTGGACCGGCGGAGTGGCATTGTACATTATCTTCACCATTTGGGCGTCGCTCACTGTCTCTATTCTAGTCCTTATGGAGGGTCTGTCAGCTTTCCTGCACACACTCCGTCTTCATTGGTACGTCTTTTTTATTTTTCTCTAGTATTCTAGCATATTTTTATTGTATTTATATTTTATCGATATGTAATATTAAACTATTGTAATCGCAAAACATTTTCCGATGCATGGTCATCAATCATATCGACATTGACATTAAAGTCTATAAACTTGACATAAAATTTTGGCAAAAATGTTTAAATTTGTTGTATAATTTAAGATACTCGAGCAGCTCTTCATTTTACTTTATAGAGCAAATGATTGTAACAAATATTTAATTTAGATTAAAACTCCAAAAATTAGTTTAAACTGAATTTTATTATCGCTATGTTGGTCACATTGCGTCGTTTTCGTTCGCGTAATGTCAATCATTATTTTGTATAATATCGTATTGTTGTGAGTAATAATCGTAATCTTTTTGAGTAATTCTCGTTTTTGGTCTTTTTTTAAAAAAATTACTTTTAAGCACAAACAGTTCTTTTAAGAACTAAATTTTCCAGTTTTTGTATTGCATTTCTTGAAATTTGTGTGTTGAAAATATGCCGAAGCATTTAAACAGTCCAAGCAAAGAGCTTGTAGCTTCCCTGATAAACTATTTTGAACGAGAACATGACAATAAAGGTCCTTTATTACTGTTACGTTAAAAATGTCTTATTGTAAAAATTTAAAATTTGGATATTTGGCAACGTTGCGCCACCTGTAGGAATACTTCCTTCTTGTCATGGCTGCCGGCAACTGAACACTGTTTATATTTTATTCACAACAATAAGTTATTTATTCAAGAATTAAACAAGTTGAAAAAACTCGCGAGTGTTTTATTCAAAGAGACAAGCTAGTAGAGAATCAGTGCAACAATTACCCTTGACTGCAGTCAGAGAAGTAAGTTTGATTGATAAGCACGTTACACCACTTTCAAAGTTATTTCTACGTTAGTTTTTATTAAATTCTGTGATTATTAGTTTGTGTTTTAATAGCACCCTCTTACTTGTTATTACCACTTATGGCGTTGTTAGATGTACATCAATGAATAAATAACCCATTATAACGCTTCTAATAATCTTCATAATGGACTAGTTTTTGCCAATATGTAATAAGTAAAATTAGCTATAAAACAAATAAATCAATTAATCACTAAATATTAGTTATTAAATTAAAAATAAAACGTAAACTCATTAAAAAATTATATTATAAATATGTTGTTTGTCAATTTTAAATTATTAAGATTCGTCTCATAAATCCATCACAACACAATCTGGCAGCGCTGTCGCCATCGCTTGTCATTCAAAGTTGATCACGTGCATCGGAAATTGTTTTGCGATTACCATATATCGAGTGGTCCATTAGTGCGAGGAGTTCAATATCTTCATTGTTCACAAAGATATAAAAAAACTTATAGAAGGCAATGAAAAAGCAAATGATCTAGCTAGAAAAGGAGCGAACACTCCACTAACTGAACCAGACCCGTTCTGCTTTCCAAGTGGTAACCAACTCAAGGACTTGGAAGACTCCATCCGCAATCTGGAATGCGAATCTTGCAACGGTCTAAGACACTCGAAGAAGTTTCTGAGGGCTTACGATCAAGAAAAATCAAAGATCTTCCTGGGTTTAAGTAAGAACAATCTTCGGATTGTCACGGGGTTTTTAACAGGACACTGTCTCCTCAATGAACACCTCAGTAGATTGAAACTAAGAAGAAACGGCGAATGCAGATTCTGTGGGGAAAATGGGGAAACACCAGTACACCTCATCACTGAGTGCGCCGAGACGACAACCATTCGTGCCATGAACTTTGGTACGACTGATATTGGAGATGGGGAACTACCCTCTATAAAACCGTCCCAGATACTGGCTTTTGTCAAAGCCCTGGGATTGTATGATGAGTTATAACTCAAGAAAGGGGGACACAATAGATCTGTAAGGTCGCAGTGATTAATATCACTAACCTAACCTAACCTAACCCACTCATTCTAAATTCTGAAAAAACAATTACATATTTTTTTATATCTTTGTCAACGTCGACGATATTTGACTTCCTCGCCCTATTGGGCCACCCTGTATATTGATTTTTCTTCATTTTGTTCCAGGGTCGAGTTCTGTACCAAATTTTATTCTGGAAACGGATATGCCTTCCAGCCATTCTCATTCGAACTCATTCTCGATTCAGCTTCTCAATCCAAGGAAGAATAAGATAGTTAATGTTAATAATTTATAATATCGTTTTTCGTCTTAACGCATGTATGAAGTTTAAGTTTAATAAACCATTTTTAACATGTTATTACTTTTGACAATTATTACTCTTAACTATTTTCAGTGGCTCATTATAGTTACAGCTAGCAAGTGCTGTACTTAAATATAACTGATAATTATTAAAATTCGTGATGTGTAATTCTATATAGAGTTGAATGCGCTTTTGTATGTAGGGCTTAAAAAAATATATGCGTGCAGTAGGCATATGACAAAATTGTTATAGGTTTATATCTGAAATTTTTCAAACTATTTTTGATTTATGAAACGCATGCAGATTTTAAAATATCTATAGGCACTTATAAAATGCGAAATGATTAGATCCAGTTTGGAAACTTCCAAGAAACAATCCTATTAGAACTTGAATATTTGACAGAATATTTATTTCTATGTGAATTTTTAAAAAAGCGCATATATTTATATTAATTGGCATGTTAAAAATATCTGAAAATGTATTCATATAAAGAAAATATAAATGCTTAGTAACTGAGTTTTATGTTTCATTTATTCACCAGTTACTACTGGAATCTAAAGTTTTATGTATAGTGCACCGACAGTAACCGTTCGCGATATGATATCCGAATTATATTCTAAGAGTTTTCCTTGTAACAAGTGTAGGTATTACTTCCAAAAAATAACAACTTTGAAAATAGTTAAAGCGTTACCATCAAGTTATCATCGATGGCACGCCATGTGAATGTTGAATCCCTGCGCCATGAATTTATCCATGATTTTCAAATAATAAGTGATTATTATTTGCTTTCGAAAGCGTACAACGGCAGTTTTTTTACTTACTATTCTGTTGTATGTTGCAGAGATACTGATTTTATCAGTTTGCTTGTTGCGCCTTATTGTAACACCCAAATACCCTAGGCAACATTTTTTGCCACCCCTCTAACTAAATAAAACAGGAATTTTTTTAAACCTAACAAAGGCAATTACATACCCAATACAGGCATTTTCCACAGTAATTTTTTATCAAAACCACCCAATGATTTTTCTAGCTCTTTCATCTGTAAAGACTGAGAGTAAAATCATTGGGTGGCTTTAATAAAAATTTCCTGTGTAAAATGCTATATGAAATATAAAACCGCGAATATCTGCGAAACCTTTAAAAAAATTTGAAATACTCTAAATACAAAAAATATTCAGTTTTTAATTCTATATCTAATAAAAGAATAATATACAGGGTGTTCTATTTAAGGAGACGAAAACAAATTATATTATACTAGCGTGTACCAGCGACTTCGTTCGCGTCGAATTTATCATTTGTAATGGTGATGATAAAGCAAAGCAAGAATATCCATTAACATACAAACTGGATAAAATTTTCTCACATTTTTGTCCGCATAAGAAAAAACAATATGGCGATATTATTATATAACTTGGTAATATTTGAGGGGTAGTTTCATCTCGTTGGAATTTGGCTTTCGAAAAATCCGTTTGCCAAAAATAAGCTTTTTACGTCAAGCAGTTTAAGCAGAATCGTGGTTAAGAAATTATCCAACTATTTGGAACACCCTGTATGATTTTTTGAAAAAATTTCAAAATATGTAAAAAAATCAAATAAATTATTAAGCGTTTTCCCGCAAGGCTAACCGTTTTTTAAATAACAAATATTGTAATATTTGAGGGCGTTTTCGCCCTCTTGGAATTTGAGATTCGAGAAACCCCTCCTTATCGAATCTCTACACCCCACAGTCAATCCGTTTGGCAAAAAATCAGCTTTAAACGTCAAGCATTTTAAGCAGAATCGTGATTACTCAATGGTCATATTTTATGAAACACCCTGTATAAATTTATAAAAAATCTTAAAATATGTAAACAACAAAATAAGATATACGTGTTTAAGAGTTTTTCCGAAAAACTCACCGGTTGTTAAATAAAAAATATTTTAATATTTGAGGGGTAGTTTCACCCCCTTAGGATTCGAGTTTCAAAAAATCCATTCTTATCGAACCTCTACACCATAAAGTCAATCTGTTTTCCAAAAATCAGCTTTTTACGTCAAAAGCGCTTTAAGCAGGATCGTGATTAATCAATGACCAGATTTTTCGAAACACCCTGTATACATTTTTAAAAAATCTTAAAATATGTAAAAAAACAAAATAAAATATACGTGTTTAAGCGTTTTTTCGGAAACTTGACCGTTTTTTAAATAAAAAATATTGTAATATTTGAGGGGTGGTTTCACCCTCTTGGAACCGGAATTTCGAAAAATCTCTTCTTATCGAACCTCTACACCCTAGAATCAACCTGTATGCCAAAATTGAGCTTCTTACGTTGAGTGGTTTGAGCAGGATCGTGATTAATCAGTATGTCAGTCACTTAAGGATTTTATATATTAGTATAGATTTTCAAAAGTTTGGCGTAGAATTTTGAACACGCTGTATAATTTAAGATTACAATATTTATAGCAAAGTAAGTATAGACAATCTAAATAAAATAAATAACTAATATAGTTTTGATTTCAGGACAGTTCCGGTATTTCTAATATTTTTTTGAGAACGGATGAGAAATGTATATTTTTTATTTATTAATATCTCTGAAATTATCGAAATATATTTGTTCATATCTTAGGATTATGTAAAGTGATCTGAAAGGAACCCAAAAATGCAATAATATACAGGGTGTTCCGTTTAAAAAAATATCAACACAACAAAAATTACAACCTAACCACTCTGTAGAAGTTAAAATATTTTCTTGAAATACATCCTAGTACATACTTCGGGTTTGCACTTAAACAAAATTCCTTAGTTTTTTATTCTATGGTTATCTGTGCTTTCTGTTTTGTGTGTAATACATAATTTATTGTAGATTGCAACACTTCTTGTAATATATTTTCAAGTTGACTTTATTCACCTGATCAACAATTTCACAATCTACTTATTTATTGTCATAATTTTGTATATATTTTTTTCTCTGTCTGCGTGTATGTCTCACAGAATAAATATAAGTAGCAGCTTTCCTAATCCCAGTTTCCAGATTTAAAATAAAAATAATTTTTATACTAAAGTGCGTGCGCTTTCATAGCACCATATGTATCGGCTGTTGGAATTATCATTTTTGTAATTAATTAGACTTAAGATACGAACTGGTTCAGTAAATTTCCTATTTTTATTGATTAGATTGTGAAAACAAATAAATAGGAGTTGCTGGGCTAACGAAACATGATTTTGTTTATAAAATTTAAATATTAATATTATGAAATTTTGGAAAAATTTGAGCAAATGTCACATTCAAATTATGATTAACCATGTACCGGGTGGCCAACTTAACGAAGCACAACTTAAAGCTGTGCTTTAGAAGCTACTTTTAATCTGCTAAGTAAATCGGCCAAGAGAAATCGCTAGAAATTATTTTGAAATGCGAAAAATGTCCGATAGAGCTCACCCTTCGAATGGACGCATTCTTTAAATTTTATGTCCAATCAGAAAACGATATTTTTCTTTATTTTAATGGCAAAAGTAGCCACTGCAATTGGTTCCATACATACTTCGTCATTGTTTACAATGACGGATGACAGTTTGAAAATACTATGATATCAAACAGAAAAAAAAGTCTATCTACCACGGTAAGATCTAATAAGTGATAGTATAGTTCCGTTAACAAAATACAGAATTATGCTTATTTTACCAAAGGCATAGTTAACTTAATTTACAGAAAGCCACTTTATTTTATGAGATAGAGCCTAAATACGAGATAACAAGCAAAATAATAAATCTTTCCTTCATTACAATAGCTCATCTTTACGTGCATATTTCTGGGAAAAATTCCGTTTTCAGATTTGCCGTAAGAAATGCGCCCGTTACCTGACATTTGGCCGATCTCCTTTTTAGATTTTTTTCCAAAAGTACCGTTATTACTATTTAGTAGTTGATTCTAGGATACAGCCAGCTGGGCCACCCAAATGGAAGCACTTGACTCTAATGTAACCAAATATGTTTTATCTTAACAAATAAATGATAAAATTATTTTTATAATCCCTTGTGAAAAGAATCATATTCTTGGTATTTATGGTTTTAGATACATTACTAATATACTAATAATTCTATAAAGAGAAATCTTATATTTACACATTAATTATACAATTAAAGTCTGCCCGACGAGTAAGGGAAGATCCAAGAACCAAATGACAGAAAATACTATTTGCCTGTGAATTATGACAAACACAACTGTCACAGTCAGGGATACTTTCTTTAGACAGACCATAATTTATAAATGTACCGTATGATCGAAAAAAAATGGCGTCCAGTTGGCTAGGAAATGACGATCGATGACATTTCCCATATAAATTTACATATAAAATGACAGCGATCTTCATTTCCCAGCCAACTGGACGCCGTTTTTTCTCGATCATACGGTAGAAGTGTCGGTTATTGTAACCGTCAAAAGTCTGTCCAACGAATCAGGGAGGATATCGACAGATGGACATCCAGAAAATGACAGAAGATACAGTTTGCCTGTTATTTAAAATGACAGACATCCAAATCTGACTGTCAGGTATCCTTCCATTGAATAGACTATACTAATGATTTTCCACAGACTCTTACTGACAATTTAATCTGCTCAATTACCACCACACTTATTTTTGTAAAAGCACGGGACTATAAACTAAATACATTAATATGTGTTCTTCACTTGGTGACGATAAATCACAATTTGCTCTTGGTACTAATATAACTTTTAAAGCCTGTATGCTATAGCATTATCCTCATAGAAAAAAGATCTTTCTCGAAAGAAGGTTCTTTCTCGCTCTTTGCAACCGGTCATCTGCCGTGAAAGTTTGCCTAACCTAACCTAATCTTATGATCGAAAAAAAAACAGCGCCCAGTTGACTTGGAAATGACGATCGATGACATTCCCTATTTAATTGTACATATAAAATGTTTTTTTTTATCATATAATACTTTCTACATAAGCCATTCCTTCTTAGATCTTAAATCAAGCAATTCCTTTACTATTTTTTTTATGATTGGCCAATATCTTACTTAGGTAAAACTTTGATATCCTAGCAGTCTGTTTAATATGCAAGATTTTTACTAAATTAACAACCGTTTTCAATTTGAAAACTTAAATATTTACACTTTTTATTATACACTTTTGTATTGTCACATATAATAATATTGGTAATAATATATTCAATATATTATTTCAAACAATTAGCCTTTCTGAAAATCTGTAAAGTACAGTCTCAGTGTAAATATAGGATGAAAATACCTATTGTCCAGAAATCTACACAAGCCCAATGGAACCCAATTTCTCCAAAGCTATTTACATCAACTTTACAGAATATCGCCCAACAAATTAAATCGGAATAAATATATATAAACAAATATGACGAGTACCCGAATCCCGAATCATCCAGGATTCACTGATGACATTCCTAAGTGTTAACAACTCTGAAGAGCCACAACAAGCATAAGCAAAAAAACAAATAATAAGAATAAGTGTAAGAAATGTTTTAAGATGAATCTAAGGAGCGATATATTATTGGAATACTAAAGTGGGACCACCAAAATAGTGGACTAGACAGAAGACCCAGATAACAGTCGTGATTTACAGACTTAAATCGCTAAAATTGCAATGGGTAGGTTACCCAGCGAGAAAAGCTTATGAAAGATGGAACAAGAACGCAGAAACAATATGGCTTAAAACAGCAGAAGAACGAAACAGATCGGTGCAAATTAAAGAAGGATGTGCAAAATAGACGTTATTAATACACAGCACATAGTATTTCCAACAAAATGCCAAGACTTAAATATATTTCCATTCACAATTAAACAATAAACAGTAACGACCCCCAATGATCGCTAGTTTTGTGTTGCCCACAAAGCGTTGTCAGTGGTCAGTTTAAATCGTCTTCAATATTGAAGGAAAATATCACTTCACTTCGGATTCAACTTATAGTTACCATCAAGTTGAATTGCTATGACCTAGTGTCGAGATAATTGGAGCATTTGAAATGAAATGACGCATGACAAAATTACTGTAACTATTTCATGTCGGTGGGGCTTCAGCTCCACTACTTACTGTGATGTCAAAGCTGGGCCGCTTCCTTGAATTTCCTCGTAAACCAGTGATGATTCCAGTTATTTTCATACATTCCAATCACAGTATCCTGTGCTAAATGCTCCATATGTGTCCTGAAGTCGCCTGTTCGTATTTTTTTCTGATGTTTCTTAACTCGTATCTATTAGTAAGGATCTCTGGTATTCTTTTGCTTATCCTCAAAGTTGTTAAAGCCGTAAAAACTTGTAATTTTGTACTTCCGTCCAACCTTCTTTACTTTGTCACTGGTTTGTTTATAGCAAGGCATGCAATGTGGTTTCTCTATGGTTTTCTTGCTTGATTGACTAATCCCTTGAATTTCCTCCTGAACCAGTGATGAGAAATTCAAGTTAATTATTTTGCCTTCCAATCACTGTATCCTGTACTACATAGGAATTTCGTGGACTCGCCTGTTGGTAGTTTCTTTTTATGTTTCCTAACTCGTATTTGTCACGATCTCTGGGTCTCGCTAATTTAAGTTGCACCCATGATACTTTGTATCGTGAGTTGCACCGCACTCACATGAAGTTTTATAAACGCAGTTGTCCCGATTTTTTATATTTTGTGTACGTATTTTTGTTGCTTCTCCTCAAAGTTGTCGAAGCCGCAAAAACTCTTTTAATTTTGTACTTCTGTCCAATCCACTTTATTTTGTTAATTATTCGTTTATAGTTATAGTAAGGGATGCGGAACACTGTGGTTTCTTCATGGTTTTCTTACTTGATTGATGTTTTCTGACGGTCAATTTTTTAATGGTAGCCTAAATATCGGTGAAACGCCTATTTTGTTGTCCCTTCTTATATTCGTGATTTTTTATGTTAAAGAGTCTTCGGAATTGGAGATGCTTTTAGTCCTGTTAAACAGGTATCCGATATCTGATGATATTCTCCTGTATGTTGTTTAGTTTATACTTGATAATGGCATCGGCGCCTCGTTATGTAAACAATAAAAATTTGAGACAGTAAAAATATCACTGTTGACTGCACCCAACTTCTTTACAGGTGAATACATGGCTACATGTAAAAGCTCTGGAGTTTTAGGAATTAAATTAGTTTACACATGGTTTACACCTGAAAAGTCAGTGATGCTTCTGACTGAAGCATTGTGTTAATCAAAACAAATAAAGACAAAAGTCCGAAATTTTTTCACAAAGATTTCCATGGCACTTAAAGTGCTTCTCTCTTCAATTAGAAATTTTGATTAGAGTTGGAATTCTCTTCTAATGTGATTTTAACAGATATGTGAATTTCCCTTTCCCATTTACCCTTACAGAATTAAGTGAAAAAGATAAATGCTAAAAAATAATGATAATTTACAATGCGGACATTCTTCTTGTTAATCCTAAATTTGCATTTGCAAATTGATAAGTCTATGTTATGTTAATAAGTCTATGTAGTTTTCTGTGCTGCGAAGAAAGAAGAAGATCAAGAAACATCTGTATATTAGGGAATAGAGTGTTGGATCCAGTAGTTATTAGTTAAGGTATCAAATCAATTATTAGTTATGGTGTTCATTATCACTACTGAACACCTATTTTCTTTTCTAGAAGTCGTTTATTAAGGTAAATATGTGTAGGTAACTATCTCTTGGGCTTTCTGTTTCCTTTTTTAAGCTAAGTGTTTTGTCAGCATGTAGGTAAGTTGTTCTTTTTTATGTCGTCATTTTATACATATGTGTCTCTAGAGAATTACAAAATTTGTCTCTCAAATCAGGTAAATTTTGAATAGCAAGGTAGGTAGACTAATGTATTCTTTAAGGTAGACCAAACCTACCTGTATATCTTTCCTGCCAGCCCTTGATACAGGTAAATCTGTTACATTTTGTTTTCTTCTCTTTATCTGACAAACAGGCCTCTTGTCAGTGTCAGATCTATAGGCTAAATCGACAGTCAACAACAAAATTTTTTTTGGAAGAAACGTTTTGGAAAACCCATTTCAGTACCTAAGTACAACTTCTATTGCACAGACCTATGTATTTGGTTTATAATTATAACCAAGGTACGTATAGCAGAGTACCTATACTGTGTCCACAGAGAGGTCTATTAGGTCGAGTTTTTTCCTAAATTATTCACTTCCCAAACTTATTTATAGTCTATATTTTGGTCTTGTTACTTCGCGTATAAGTATGCGATGGGGTCTAGTATCCTACGAAACCATGTGATCTTGGTTTTACGGTAGATAATGCGTTTTAGAGTTTTTAAATTTTACGTCACTTACCGACCTACGATTTTAAATTCAAATATGGTTATTTCCTAACCTTTATGTTTTCCATAAACGTGGTATCTCGTTTAGTTCTAAACAGAAGTGGAAAAGTATTTAAAACATGCTTTTATTGTCGACCTTATGCCCCTATCACCGTATCAGTAAATCATCACATTAATAATATTCGCCTCGCCAGTCCCCTCTCAGACACAGTCTCGGTACGTAGCTGGAGCTGCTTATATCAGCTGTGTAATAAGTGGAACGATTCACGTTATTTTTCTGTAATTAGTTGTGACCCGAGTGATCCGATGGCCTGCCCAAATCCTAAACGAGTCTGTATAATTGGAAGCGGAAATTGGTAAATAGACCTTTCACAATTTCAATTGTTTGTGTGATGATTTTTATGTAACATAACCTCACTATCGATTAAGTAATTGCCAAACTAGTTGAAAAATCAAAATTTCTGAAATAACAACGAAAAACTAATATTGAATTATGAATGTAGGGGTTCAGCTATTGCAAAAATTGTTGGAAGCAATGCAGTCAAATCAAAAAACTTCGATGAAAAGGTTACTATGTACGTGTATGAAGAGATAATAAATGGGAAGAAGTTAACAGAAATTATCAATGAAACACACGAAAATGTGAAATATTTACCTGGACATAAACTTCCCGCAAATGTGGTAAGTATTTTAAGTGATAAATATGGCTAAATCATTTGCATGTGCTTCTTTTGGCTAGAATACTACACTGTTATGTAATTTATTATACAGGTGATAAGTTATTAATAAATTTATTTAATGTCAAGAAGATACTGACATGATTATACTATTTAAAAAAAAATATGTTTATTTCGAACCATGTTTAATTAATTAAAATTATTTAAACATTATAGGGAGACCAATTATTTCTTTATGTTAACCGCAGTTCATAAAATTGCAATTACAATGGGTAAAGCTAGATTTTACTTATTCATATTTATACCTCCTTATAATTTTATATCTTAGTAGGTAGGTAGAATTATTTTTTTAGGAAAATATTTATTTTTTATGTTTCTATTAAGAACTAAGTAATTCAGTTTTTTTATTAGCTGATGTGTCCTTCAAAAAAAAATATCTGTTTTAGATAAAATTAACATTAATCTTTCACATGTTCTTAGCTCAAGTAATTAAAAATTATCTTATATATACTTAATTATATACTTTTCTGGGATGTTTCACAGTTTTTTGAAATTTAGAAGTACTGATAATAGTTGAGCCATTTAATTATGTAAAATTCCAATATAGCAGTGAAATCTTTATTTCAATTTTCAATACTCTTCTCTTTGAATATTCTGTAATTTCACAAGTATTTAGTAATTTTTATTGAAAACTTTTGATTTGAACCTTGATTTTAAAAAATCATAAGTATGTTTGTAAAAGGATAAAAGAAATGAAAATTGAAAATTGTCATTTTTTTTTCACGAAAATCCGTCTGCCAATCTGTCCATTTGTCAGTCTGCCCGTCTGTCTGTCTGAGAACTCCACTGGGTACCTCTATCCGCTTGCCGAGTATGGTTCCAATCGACCCATAATTAAGAAAAATCCTGATGATTTCGTCCCTTTAGAGGCATCGGTTCGAAACGTCGAGGGCGTCATCCTGTAACCCGTCCCCAATTATGCCGAAATCGACCGACATTTTTCTTCAATATCAAATTTTTAGTCCTACCCTGACGAAAATGTAAACGAAACGTTGTATCCAACTTTGCAGGGTGGGATCGTGTGCACCATCGCTCACATAGCCTACCCACCAATTTTGATCGCGATCGAATGACATCAACTTTTGACCTTTCTTACGTCGAAACTAACTGTCACAGTGATCCGTCTGGGACACGGTCAAGTTGGTCTTGGTCCAATCTATGGACTTACAAATTTCATTTAAATCAAACGATTTTTTCGCCATTGATGATAGGGTTTCATAGTACACGAAACATTGTCAAAATATCATGAAAAGATGGGGCTCTTCGAAATGGCATTCCGAGTTTCGGCCCCCTACCTCATATAGGGCCCGAGTTACGACGCTCCCAAGACCCATCTCAACTTCCTCATTGGTTTACCACTTTTTCAATCGTTACCACTTTTCGTCTCGCATGTCACCTTAGTAGCTCGTGTGTCACGGCCTTGAATTTTTATTCCCGGCGCACGTAAAGAAGTTTTACTTCAAAAATATAATTTAAATTATATGAGAAAATAATTAAATGACAAATCTTCTGAGCTAAAACCATAATATCATAATATATCCCATTTAAAAATTGACATTTTCTAAAATGTACTGTGCTTATCCTGATTTAATGTATTTCATATTTTATTTCTCGCCCGTTTATACAATAACTCATAAGTTAAAACTGCAATTTAAAATTATTCCTAATTAGTCCAAAATTATATTAAAATACTTTTTAAATATCCTTATCTCGTTTTTGATTTTTAAAATTAAAATGTAAAATTAATTCTTTAAAACAGTTTTATTTTTTTTTCGATTTATTATAATTTCCTTTGAAGTGCTTTTACCGATTCGAATGAAATTTTTAGGGTAAAAAAGGTTACTATAAGTGCAGCATATGTTAATGCTAATAAAGTATTTTGGTGGACATGCATATGAGTTATCACTGGAATATTTTTCTAAAAAAAACATGTGCGTCACTGACTTTTTTTCTCTCTTTAGCAAAGTTGTGTAGACCGTTTAATGCCAGTTTTTAATAATTTTAGTTTCCTTGATGCGATAAACGCAATTTTATTAATTTGCCTTAATCCAAGTCTAATAGCAACCTTTATTTTTTTTAATTAAAAGGTCTACACGATGTTGCTAACAAGAGAAAAACGTGAATGGCGCACATGATTTTTTTAGAAAAATGTTCCAGTGGTAACCAATATGCACGTCTCTGGTAAATCTGTCGACATTTTTTTTAAATATTTTATTATTAAAATAAGTCGCACTTATAGTAACTTTTACCCCCAAAATTTCATTCGAATCGCTAAAAGCACTTGAAAGAAAATTATAATAAATCGAAAAAGAAAATAAAACTTTAACCCCCTGTAGATACAAAACAAAGCAAAACCTGAACTATATTGATATAAAAATAAATCCTATTTTTACGTGAGGAATCTCCCACGAGAGATTACACATATTTTTTGAAACACCATGTATATCTTAATAAGCAATGACACGAAAGAAAGATATAGCAGTGTTAGTAAGTTTTTTAGAGCAAGCAAATAGGCGATATTTTAACTGGAATGAATCACAAGAATTCATTTTGTTCATTTTTATAAATTGTTCTATTAATATTCCTCAACACTTCCAGGTTGCTGTTCCAGACGTAGTTGATGCTGCCAAAGACGCCGACATTCTTATTTTCGTAGTTCCTCATCAGTTCATCAGAACGATATGTTCAACGCTCCTGGGAAAAATCAAGGCCACAGCCATTGCCTTATCACTAATCAAGGTAAGATTAAATTGGTTGTGTGATTTCCAGGGCGATATTAAAAAAGACAGACAAATTAAATATTCAAATATTGAATATAAATTATAACTGTAATTTACTTTTTTCGCTGTTTAAATTAAGTTTTCAAATGGAAAAGGTCAAGTGGTTGGATCACTCTGAAGGTGTCTTTGTGTGATATAATTGTTATAGTTTATTGTGGATAATTTAAATTATAATTATTATTAAATTAATGCGAAGGATATTGTTTAAAAATAATGAAGTCGTACTGGGAAACGAAATAGTTCGTTTAAAATTTGTTTTAAATATTTTTTCGACCGGTCTAAATGTAAATAATTTTATTTGTCAATATGAAACATGTCATTTTTGTTGATTTAAATACTTAGTGCTATACGCATATTTCACGTACGAGAACGATTTTTAATGTTTGTTTTATTCATATGATCCAACATTGCGTATGGGAAAATTTAGTATGGACCGTATTAAGTATAGATCATACCAAATAAACTTCTAGTCACGTGATTAAGCTTGACCGGCACAGTGTTGCCCACTTTTACATATTTTCTTCTAATCAAAATATTTTAGGAACCAAAAATAAATTAATTATAAATATATAAACAGTTATTATTTACACCGACAAAACGCACCTCCTTAAGGAACATAAAGGGTCATTACTACCGCTTTCCTATTCAAAATATTGTCATAAGGTTGGGATAAGTTTTGTGCAATGGCTGTTAAGCTGATGCGGCATATTGTACACTTAGCGGTTCTAAAAAGAACAATGTTCGACTGCAAAGTCTGCTAATAAAGTTTTCTAAACTTAATGTATCACAACACAATTATTTATTTAAACCAAAAACTTGTAATACAAAACTAAAGTGTCAAAACGAATGACAATGTCAGGAAATAAATTTTTCATTTTTTACAGCAACAGAGCTATAGTCTATAAAATGAATAACCTTAAATTTTGACCGTTATTTTTTACCAACATGGCAAATATAAAAGCCCTCTATCCAAAAAGTTACTGATATTCTTTAAAATGAGTGCCTGATCGAATCAGATAGGTAACTCTTTTATACTTTCGTAAAATAGAAAAGGAAAATAATAAAACAGGTGACAGTTCTTCCTCTTCTTGCAAAAATCAACGCAAAATGTCATAATTGACAAAACTAAAATGTCATCAGCCTTTGACATTTCTAAATATCAGACCGATGCCGTCTCTAATAGAACAGCCTCGGAGCGAGATTTATGACGTCACGCTAGTTAGATACCACGGATTAATAAATATGTTGTAGAATACACGGAAAACATAATTATTCCTCGTACTTTTGGTTTGTATTTTAAAAATGATATAGTTTACATAAAATATACATAATATACAGTTAATAAATACAATATATATATATATATATATATATATATATATATATATATATATATATATATATATATATATATATATATATATATATATATATATATATATATATATATATATATATATATATATATATATATATATATATATATATATATATATATATATATATATATATATACCTATTTATAGTAATAAATACTTGACAAATAAACTATGAACCATACAAATGCATCAAATGTTTTACAATATACAAATAATGAATAGGTACATAAGATAATGGGTAAAATATATTTTAAATTTTGGTTTTTGAAAATCGATCTAATTTAACAAAAATATTCAATATCTACTAATAGTGATGTATTATTATTTGCATTCACAAAATTTATATGTATATTTTGCAAGCATCAGTGTTCGAAAAATTATATTTACAAATAATACAATATCATAGAAAAAAAGGCGTCAGCGATGGCTATGAAATAAAGATCGCTGTCATTTTATATGTAAAATTATTCTAAAATTTGTGTCGAATATAATCCTAAAAATTACATATACGAGGAATAATTATGTTTTCCATCATTCTACAACATAATTAATCCGTAGTATCTAACTAGCATGACGTCATAAATCTCGCCCCGGGGCTGTTCTATTAGAGACGGCATCAGCATGGCCGCAAGTTGCTAACCTAATAAAATTAACACTAGAAAAGCCCGCGGGAACTGTCAGGTTCAAAGTTATTCGTTTCACAGACTATACCACCCGAATTTGGCTGACTAACTGGAATTTAAATTTCCTGTGGCGGTTTAGGTGGTAGCTCTGCTATAAAAAATATACATGACTGTCAAGGTGTCACATTTATTTATTTATTTTCTGACATTGTCATTTGTTTTGAGATTTTAGTTTTTTTTATTACGAGTTTTTGGTTTAAATGAATTGGGTCGTAATACTTTAGGCTTAAATTTTTTTGGTTAGGGTGACTCTTTAATAAGTGCAAATCGAGGGGTGTCTCACTTGGGTAAAAAATGTACATGTACTGCCAACATATCGTTTTAATACCAAGCGACTGCCAATGACTGCGAAGAAGACTGCCTATGACTGCCATGTAATTATTATAGGCGACTGCCGTAAGACTGCCAATGACTGCCAGCGACTGCCAAGAAAATGTACAGGTAATTCCAATAGTGAGACACCCCTCGGTGCAAATATTTTTCGACTCCAGAAATACGATTATTAATTTTTTAACGAAATATGTTTTTTTTTTTCAAAATTTGGAATTTTTTAAAAAATGTGGAAATTTTTTTGGTTTTTAGTTAAAAAACGTAATTTCTTGAAAAAATGGCAACATAGGTACATAGTAGACTAAATTTACAAGAAAGAAAACCCAGAAAAGATCCAGTGGTTTTCAAAATTTTAGGAAAAATTATTTTTTTGGAAATTTTCTTAGTAACATAGCCGGTTAATTTTGGATTTATTTGAAAAACGGTAAAGAGAAAATATGTTTCTTTTATAGATATCTAACAACCCTGAAAATATTTGCACTTATTTAAGACTCACCGTGTATATTTATAATTAATTTATTCTTATTTTCTTAAATATTTTGATTAAAAGAAATTATACAAAAGTGGGCAATGCTGTGTCGGTCAAGCTTAATGACGTGACTGAAAGTTTATTTTGTGTTATCTATACGGTCTGACTTTTTAATAAAGAGGTAGCAAACTAGCATTTTTCGGTTAGGATTATTGGCCCGTGAGCTGAACCACGTCAGTATGAGTTGGTATAACCACAGAGTATTAGAGCTAGTATCACAATAATAATCAACAGATTAATTATTTTTATGAAGTAAATATTTCTAATGACTAGGGAAATGAATATCATGTAGGATACGAGATGGGATAACATAAAATTGAATCGTAATTGATAAAAAACACAGTTTTCCCTCTATAGTACTGTTTAATAAAATTACATACTGATAAAATAGGTGTTATCATAAATAAATATTAACCAGCAGACCTTGAGATTGCTTTTCCCTATATCTAATACAATTTTCTGACAAACGAATCTGATTTTATCAAAAACGTCTTAATATAATTTAAAAAAATGTTTAATGCTTTTCTTATAGTATAGCGAAATCAGAGAAATAAGTCAACATAGAGGCTAAGATATACCGGGTGGTGCATCGTAGTTGAAACATAAGAAATCGCAAATTTGGAACTGTCCAAATATTGGCTTCCCTGTTAATTTTACAGCGAAGCTGTAAATAAGTTATTTAAAGGCCTGCGTATGTGCGTATGCTGAATACAAATGCCAAATTTGAACAATTTTAGACAAGCCGATTTTAAGTAATTTAAGAAAAACTGCATCTATTTTTAAATTAAAACTAAACAGATAACAATACAAAACCAGTCAATGTCAAATTGTATTTTCGAAACATTAGGCTTTTGCCTTATCCGAACCAGTTTTAAATTACAAAAATGCAATTCGGGAACACTAACCGTAGGTACTATAACGTAGTAGTGTAGACAGCACAACTATAGATAAAGAAACAAGTTTAGATTGGAAAGTGCCCATAAGGACAATGTAAACAATATTTGGTGCTATTCTTGCAACGGTCGTGACCCAAAGCTTTTGAAAATTTCGGAGCGGTTCGGCTTTTTCCGGAATTATATCGCCAAATATTATTTATTCAAATTTATTATTATTTTCTTTTAATTCTATAAATAAAATACAGTGTGTTGGATACAAGGAACTTTATTTTATTATAAGGATATGTATGAAATATCTATGAAACATTGGAAATCGACGTTATGACACGATCCACGATGGTTTTTGCAGTTCACAGCACAGCTTTTTAAGTTTTTAATTCTACTTTTTCACAATTGTCACGGGTTTGAGTAAATAATACTTAAATTAAACTCACAAGGTAGCAATAATTACTTTGAAAATGGACGCTTTAAACATTTTCGGAATTTTTTCGATTAGAGCGGTTTATATTTTGAAATATTTTATAATTTTTGAAGATTCTGACTTTGACAAGAGATTTGGACAAGAGAAAATTATTTCTGTTTTTGTTTACGGTTGTTCTTAGCAACCTAAAGTAGCAATCGCTATAGCAGCGCCAGATCGCGTACAATGGTCGCGACCCGAAATTTTGACGGGAATTCCAATCTAAATTTATTTCCTTTATCTATGAGCACAACAGATTACATTTGACAATGAAAAATCATAGGTTGACAACTTAGAAGGTATATTGATATTTATCTGGTTTTGCATTGTTACCTGTTCAGTTTTAATTTAAAGACAGATGCAATTTTTCTTAATATTACTTAATCGGCTTGTTTAAATTTTTCAAATTTGGCATGTGTGTTTGGCATAATAAACTGACTACCGCAAGCTGTTAATTTTAATTGTGTTTTTTAGACATTGTGAATGATCGTTAACTAAAAAGAATAAAGTGTAATTGAAATCACTAATTTATTCCACTAATTGCGAGGTTCTGAATGAAGCTTTTAACTAAGAAATATTTCAGAACTTCTCTAGATTTACTTATTTTTCTGAGAGAGTGAAAGTGCCCGCTAGGAGACTAGCCAGTTATTTTTATTTACAATCCACACAAAAGCTGTAGGTT